TCGTGTATATTTGTTAAAGTTCTATGTAGTGTATAATACTCTTTAAAGTATGTTTTTATTGATTGGAGATGATTTTCGCACCCATCAGAATATTATTCATAGTTTGATGAAAATGTTACGAAATTGCAATACTAAGATGTCGTAATATATTTTTATGTCATAATGACTTAAAGGTCAATTAAAATTTTGCAATACCTGACTAAAAATTATTCTTAGAAAAAACAAGGAATCGATTTGAACATAGAAATGAATCAAGATATAGCAATCGAGATTAAATATCTGAAAATGAAATATTTAATAAAATAAAGAAAAAGCGAAAATTTTAATAATTTGAAAATTTTTAATAAAAGAAAGCGGATTTAAAAAAATTTTTCATCAAATTTGCTCAAAGTTCCTCTTCTAAATAACAGATTTTCTTTCAAATTTACATAATTTCTTTATAGCGACTGGCTCGTATATTGGAGGCACGACAAATGGCGTTGAAATTGATTGCAAATGTAACATATGGTTATTCAGCAGCAAATTTTAGTGGTCGTATGCCATGTGTTGAGGTGGCTGATGCTATTGTAGGCAAGGTTAGGCTTAAATCCTGTTTCGAAGCAATATAAATATGATATTAATGGTTGGAAACTTTTTTTTTTTTTACTTTTTATGTTATTTCAGGGGCGTGAAACTCTAGAGAGAGCTATGAAACTGGTTGGCAGTGGAGCTTATGGAAATTCACGAGTGATTTATGGTGATACTGATAGCATGTTTGTAGTTTGTCCAGGTTTCTTTTTATTTCATTCTATCAATTATAAGTAATTGATTTCTGATAACTGAGAATATAACAAATACAATAATCATTGATGTATATGCGAATATTGTGAGGAAAGTTGTTTCCTGAATGTATGAAAAGGATTAGTGTGTTTTATAAGAGAGTTTTGTTTTTTTCTCAGGAGCAACCCGAGCTGAAGCCTTTGATATTGGCAAAAAAATTGCTGATGATGTGACTAGAGCAAATCCAAGTCCAATAAAGCTAAAATTAGAAAAAATTATGCATCCCCTTATTTTGGAATCGAAAAAACGATACGTAGGAATGAGCTATGAAAGTATTGATGATGTGGAAGGTGTCTTCGATGCAAAAGGTATTGAAACAGTTCGGAGAGATACATGTCCGCTTGTTTCAAAGGTATTGTTTTTAGTGATTATGTGGAAAATGGTTTTCTTCCGTATTTGTAGTTAATTTTGACAACATCAAAAAGTAATAAATGGTGTGGAAATACGCAGGTTACTGAGCTAGAATTCTCGTGTCTCATTTTCGTTTTTTTTTTTTTTTTTCTTTCATTATTTGTCTTTTACGATTTTCTACGTGCATCCATATTGTTGAATCTTGTTTTAGATTTTGGAAAAAACTTTGCGTTTGCTTTTCATTAATGATATGAATCGAATGGTACGCTATTTGGATATTCAACTTTCTAATCTTTCGCAGCTCCCATTATCTGATTTTATCTTCAGTCGCGAATATCGCAAATCATACGCAGAATCTGCGGTTGTAGCATCAAAAATGATAGCCGAGTAAGAATTGAGGGATTTTTCGTATTTTATAGTTTCAAGATGTTTAGGTATAAATAATATTTAAAAATTTTTCTCTTTTAGGAAAAGGAAAGCCATATGTCGACGTTATGAACCAGAAGTTGGTGAACGAGTCCCATATGTAATCGTTTCCGGTGAACCAAAGAGCACTTTGATCTCATGCGTTCGTGAACCTGACGAATTCATTTTTGATCGTCGTTTAAAAATCAATTTCGAATATTACATAAGACGTCAACTACTGCCTTCATTGCATCGAGCTCTTAACTTCGTCCCGCTAAAAATCGAATGGCATTGTCCTGTAACTGTTGGTTGCTACAAGTTTGTTCTTTATGTAATTATACTTATTGCGTAAGCGTAGGAACAATAGCTTTCATATCGAACATTATCTTTCTAGATACCAATAAACGAGTTAATTTTATTGCAGAGCGAGAAGAATAAATTCATTAATTTGATGTCGCAATGTTTTTGATACTTAATTATTTTCATTCCAGTTTAGTTGTTTAAGTTTATTGATCAATTTGTTATAAGCACCAATACATTTCATTTCTAATGAGGGAATCAAATTTTAGTTGTGGAGCACTTGGTACACGATTATGGTGCAAAGATTGCATCGTTGATCCTAAAGCTTTTCTACTTGCTGTATGTGATTATTACTGGGAAAGACGCCTTCTTTCTCAGCTCAATGATAAATGCCGTAAATGTTTATGTAAGTTTATCAAGTCAGTAATTCTTACGTAATTTTCGCTATATCCCTGCAATTTTATTAGGTCAAAATGATGTAGAATTTTTAGTGATATGCTAACCATTGTCGTCATTTTTTAATTATACAGCATAGTTTAAATTGTTAAGAATTTCCTACGAATTTGAGTTTTCCTTTTTTTTGCAGTATTACGATCAGTCAACATTGATTATAATAAATGCATCAATATGGCATGCATTATCAAGCAAAAACGAATCTTTTTAAATCGTTCAGCGGCTGAGCTCGCAGTACGAAGTCATTTTTTAACAGGCGACAAATCTCTCTACTAAATTGATTAGGAATTTTAATATAGTTTTATTTGGTTTTAATTTTGAACAAATGTTATTTAGGAAATAATATTCTTGTCATGTTTTATAATAGTGCCATTCATAATGTGATTTTTTACTAAACTATTTGGGTGATACTACTATTGTAGGTATTTTTATCAAGACTACCAGTAAAGTTGCTTTAAAAAACACTGCTATAAATGTTTTTGTTTGCTCGTTAATCTTAATGACCAATTACTGAGTTTTGCAGATCGGCGAAAGAAGTTTGAGGTGTTAAATGTTTTCTTAAAAATGATTTATAGATAAGCATAATTTGGATATTTTCTATAAGCTTATTTGGTGGAATGGTTTTACATAATATATGCCCAAATTATAGCATAACTGATCACCGAATATATCCTTATTATATCCTTTTTGAGATCTCTTCAGGTGTACATGTATACAAGCTATTATGACTAGGTTCGTTTATTCATGGCACAAAGCAACCTCTAGTTTAATATTTTTCATATTTGATAAAAATATGCAAATTATATTATATATAACTTTTAACACTCAAAATTTTGCTCTTCCAGTTATTTCCAATTTTTTTTTTCTGATCGTATGTTTGTGAGAGTATTAATTGTATTTAAAATTTTCTTGGATTTATACAATTTTTGTAAATATATATTAGAGAATTGCCATTCTTCGTTTGTATGAAAAGAAGTGATCCCTGTGTGATGTGTTGGAATTGTGTTTTAGTTTGCGATTCATACAACTAACTGATATTCTGTGTTATTCCTCTTCAACTACTATCAATAAATCTAATATCAGATCTTCAGCTATTTGATGATTTTCAAGCGTAGCAATCGTTAAAGCTTCAGAGAAGGTTACAATTATTTCGAGGAATTATTTGGGAATTCTAAATTAAAAGAAATCCTAGTTTGCAAATGTTCCAAAACAGCAAAGACAAGAAACTAAATCATAGGAAGATGTTGAGTATGTGGAAACTCTTGGTGGTGGTCACTTACAAAGTCTAAGAAGTGATATTTGGAGAAAGGTTGAGTGGAAAACTCCAAAAAGTTACTGCAAAAAGGTTTGAAAAAAAAACGAAAATTATGGTAACAAATCTTCTCTTTTTTCAAGTGAAGATATAATGCTTTGCTCAAGAAGTATTTCAGAGATAAATTCAGAAAGTTCTGTCTTGACAAACTAATTAATTGTATGCATGCGATATTTGGAGTCATCGCAGAATAAGTCACACATAAAGCAAATCAATCATTGCGAATAATTCTGCAATTGATCATTTTATCCTTTCTAATTTCTGGGAATGTAACTGCATGTAGGCACTCTAATTGTAATTATAATTTGTTGTTAACAATCAAAATTTAATTTACTTTGAAGTCAAAAATTAAGTGCTATCTTAAGTTTTGCGGTTTTGAGAGTCAAATATTTGTTTTTCTATTTTTATTACAGTTTTATATTGTATTTCAATCGTTTCATTCTCCCTGAAGTAAAATATGAATTCAAAATTAAAAAATAATTTCATCTGTTCATTTGTTATTCAATGATATTGGATTAAATGGTAACACAACTTTTTATTCCTTTTCTCTACCTCTCTCTATCTTCCTCTCCCTTTCTCTTTACCATTTCGTTAAAACAAATAAATTTTTTCTAAAATCTCCAAATGATTTTTGAAAGCTGCTGGAAATTTTGAAGCATTGATTTTAATTATGAAACATTTCAAATTCGTAGTTTTCTTTTTCTCTCTTTTTTTCTGCAAAATTTGAAACAGAACAAGTCAGTTCATTTATTCTATCGAGATATTTCAAGGAGAAAAGTCTAATCAATTTGATACAACTCATTGATCTTAAATCATTTTATTTTACAATCAGATGAAAGATAATCAATCGACTTTAAATCCTTCAAAAAGTTATCCTTTATCTACCACTCACTATTCATTCAATAAAGAAATTAATTTACCTTAAAAGCTAACATTTTATTAGGAAGTTTTTGGAGGATAAAAAATGAGCTCTATTGCTATGAGAGAAATTACTCATCCGAGATCTACCATTAAGGTTATTCAAAAAAAGAAGAGCGCGAAGTTAATGTGATAATAATATAAAACGAATAGTTGATCGTATCAATCTTTGCCCATAAATCTTCTAATTATTCTTACAGATCATTAATTAGTAAGTAGGGTAATTTTAGGTAATTAAGAAATGCTCAAAGCAAAGCATTACATTGCGATTTTAATCGATCATAAGATTTGAATAAAACCAGTGTGGGAGAATTAGATTTTAGGAGAAGAGAGCTTGTCAAATTAAAAAAAAGAAAAAAGCGAGAATCTGACTATAATTGTACTTATCAGTTGGTTTTTGGGAATTTTTTTCCAGAAATAATCCAGTATTTCAATTTCAAAAATGGAGTTTGAGTTACGAAAAAAAGCATTAGCTTGTATCGAGAGTAACGTAACGGAGGTGCAAGTGGTCATTATTGTTCTGACCCGTGAACTTGCCTTTAAAGTATGTGAATTTCTTGTTCTCCTCTTTAATTTTTTTTCTTTTTTGAACTTCATATCCTCTTAATTTTTCCAATTTCAAGTTTCACTTCTAATTCTTCTAGTTTCAGGTCTTTTAGGATTGATGAGATTTTATAAATCAAAGGATATTTTTGCGAATTCTTGTCTTTTCTTGTCACTTATTTTATTTTATAAATTAAAAAAAAAAAAAAAAGACGTTGAATTGACAAGCAATTGTTCATTCAGAATTAAACTTTATTCTTAGTTTTATTCTCACTTATTGTATAAATGAAATTTATATTACAAAAAGTTGTTTTTATAATGTCACAATAATTCTTTCCAACCAAATGGTGGCTAAATATTAGTTCATTAGAAGTTAACTATAATAATATATTCAAATAATGATTTTAAAGAAAAAAAAAGAAAAAATTTTCTCGAATTATCGGTAATCTAATTTGAAGGTAGCACATCAACTAAATGAGGATGCAGGTGAAATGAAATGTCTACCATGTATCAATGATCGTCGATTTGAAGTACATTTGGATGAAATGAAACAACGACACTTTCCCATCGTTGCTGGCACATTAGGAAGGATTGATTTATTTCTTTATCGAAATGTATTAAGTAAGAGTTAAATATCTCATTTTATAAATTCAAAATATATAATTCAAAAAACATATTTTTTTTCACTTTTTTTACTTGATTAGATCCTTAAAAATTCATCAATTATTAATAATTTTTTTTCTCCTTCAGCCAATTCAGTATTTTTGAAATTGTTTAAGTCTTCTAGAAAGAGACTTTCTCTTTTGCTTTGTTTTTTTTTTTTTTTTTTTTTTGGTATCATCTAATTATTAATAGATTAATCTGGATAAATTTGTCAACAGGTTTTGAGAAAATGTCCTCAATTTACATTACTGTTGACCATTACTAGCCACTTTAACATTAAAACACTTTAAACATTTAATGTGTTGAGTAGGTCTAATCTATTATATAATTAAATAAGTGGGTAATTATTTTAGTGAATAAATAACTAAACAGTTTTACATGTCATACTAGGTTGAAATTTGCACTAATTGTAATTTTCGAACAATCCTAAGTAAGCTTGAGCAGTAAGTTAACAATTTTAATCCGATTACGAAACTTTTTTTTCTTTCTTTACGTAGAGCCAGTATACATCAAAGAATTATTCATACTTGATTCGATTGCAATGGTCAGTTTTCCACTCAAAAGGTCATTAGAACGAGTGCTAGGCTTCATTCAGAAACATATCCATGTAAGGCGCATTTTATACATTCTACAAATCAACTAATTAATTAGTATCAACTTTTACCAATTGTTCATTGTATAATTGTATTGCTTAAGTGTTAGAAATAATACTTTTTGTAGAAATTTATGTACACATATGTCAATTTTGAGAATTTGGTTAAATCTATTTACACTTAATCCATTAAATTTCTTTTTGCAATAATATGCGTTTATGTATAAAAGCTTTGCAACTCTGTCAAATATTTCTCTAAACAATATTGATTTCGAAACTTCATGCAAGTATTTCTATTTCAAAAAAAAAGAAAATTTTTAGCAATTTTTTTTATTGTGTTTTGGTAAGTGAATAATATAATTGATAATGATAATAAATATAGAATTACAGAATAAATTTCAATGATTTATTTTCACGCTTGTTTTTACTTATAAAAATGCACATGGTATGAAGACAGATGTCCTATGAAATTATTGCGTATATCGTGATCAATAAATAAGTATATATTTATATATTTATATTTATTAATTTGTTCAAAAAAGAGAAAAGATTATTCACTTATTTTAGATAATATTGCATTTACCGCCTTGTGCTTCAATTGTACGTCAAATACAAGATTTTACTGGAAGTGTTTCATGTTATGGAGCACATCCTCATCTTATTGAAGCGAATCATTTTGCGCTGCATGTTTCGGATGAGGTTTGTTCCTTTTTACTATGTCACCTGTTCCCATGAGATTCTGAAATCTATCACTTGAAATGCATTAGTGGAGTGATGATAATAATGGTGATAATGATGATGATATATTCATGTCGATAATAACATATGATGATGATGATGCTGATAATGATATTGATGTTGATAATGTATTAGTGACATAAGCAAATCTTGTTTATGATTTAACATCAAACAGTTCTAATCGTTAGTGGAAGAAAGTGCATTATTCAATGTTATTACGTACTGTAAATCCTTTGATTCACTTTTACAGTTCAGTCTTTTCCACGATAGAAATTGTATTATCGTACTAGATTTGACAAAATTCCGGTTAATTTATTTATATTTGCAAACTTACCAAACCATTATTTCTTCTTAATCATTTATCAATTCAGCAATTAAGCACTATAATTTTTTTTTTTTTTGTTCATTTTTTAGATGAGAAAAATGGATACACTTTGTGACTTATGTCGAACGAATACATCAGTACCAATACTTATTTGCTGCAGCATGCAAGGCACTGCATTCGCAAATGCAAAAGTATTACGAGCGCAAAATTTACCCGTAGTTACTTTGGTTTGTAATTTTCCTTTTTTTTTTTTTTTTCTTTTTTAATAAATGTGTAAGTTAAGACGGATCGATGACACTAACAGAGAGATATTTTCCCATTATGACATTATTGAGGAAATTTTCACGTCTCACTTGTCCATTTCAAACTGTTTCAATATGATTTTGCAGTCTGGTCCTTTTCTTTTGATTAAAGTACAGTTGGGTTTATTACGGGTACGTTTTTTGTAGATATCCTCTGTATATTAGAATTTAATCAATGTTAATTCTATCAATTTTAGACTAAGAGCTCTTAGATAGTTCTTACATCTATATCTCATTTCTTTATTACTGTTAACAAAATCGTTTATTCTCTTGATCAATATTTATTCTTACTTATATAAGTGAAATATATAGACTAGTGAAATGTCATCCGATGATATTCGTGTCGCTATCGAAACATTTCAATTGTGTCAAGTGCATATTATGATAACGACTGGATATATCCGTGGTTTAATAGATTTGAGGACACCAATGATTATTATCAATTATGATTTACCGAAACCTGATGCATACGCTCGGAGGTAACGTAATGCTTAGGTACTTTTGGAAATTCAGAATCAGTCGATGAGATAAAGTCAGAGGAAGTTGGATACATGTAAACAGAGAAATATTTGGTCATCTCTTAATAACTTCATTTAGGAGTATTCTGAAAAATTACTTCAAATGAATTTCAAACTGATTTCTTCCATATTCAGGATTAATTTCGTGGGTGAATCCTGGATTGCCAAGCACACCGTCTTTATATCATTGATTAAAATGAGTGAAAGACACAAACTATCGCAGATAAAAGAAAAACTTGGCTTACGGTGGTTCCTGGTGTTTCCGGACTGAATTTTAATTTTAGTTCAAGATGGTAGATTATTTTTGAAAGTTTGACTTATTCTTAATTTATTAATGCACTACTTCAGAATCTCCAATTCCTATTCTTCTATTCAAACATTGTAGCTTTAACTACTTCTAAAACAACCTCGGTTACTTCTAAATTCCCTCTAAAGCAACTAGGAAGGCATGCATTTTCAAAATTTATTTAGGATATATTAAATACTATTTTCACCGTCGTGCTTTCTTTTTCTTTACCAAATAATTTTAGTAATAAAGACCGCTATTAGAATAATTAATTATTAAGTGCTTGAAATTAAGTCCATCTTTTGCTAAATAATCCGTCTCTTAGGAAGCAAAACATCATTTTCACCAGTCCTCGAATAAAAATCAAAAAAGCAGTCCATGCCATTCAAAAAAAGAAAAAAATTCAAGCAATCCTGCTATAGAATCTCGACATGCTCTTCACAATGTGACTAGAACTTTTCAATTTTGCTGAGGAATATAACAAATTTCTAATTCTAAAATTTTCAGTAGAACCACTGGTTCATGTGACAGTTGTTTTCATCTTAACATTTAGCACTATAAAATCTGTCAGTATATTATTTGCATCTTCTGTATTACTATGAGATCTGAAACAGAGACCATATTATTTAGTCATTTCTAAACGTTTCGTACTTGTTTTGAAAAGTACTGATAAACTGTAGAATGTCGATATGTTTCCCACATTTTAAAACTGTCAGTATAATAATGAGCGAATGTGCTACTGAAATAAAATAAATTTTTCGCGCAAACTTTTTGAGAGTGCAATTCACAATTCGTAAAGAGTAAAAAACATGTTTTCCGGACTGTAAATTGAATCGAAACAAAACACAAAAATAGAAACACCTTCAATGTTTTCTCTGACTTGACTTTTCGGTTTCAAACTCTTCCTCATTTTTTGCAGAAATAAAAAATGCAAACCATTTTATAGTAGGAAATAATGGATAACCTTTTTCTTTCAATCATCTAAATTATCTACAATAGAGAATAAAAAGTTAGACAACTACAGTCAATATTCAAAATTGTTTGAGTGCCATAGTACCGTTTTCAAACAGTGAGGCATTTCGTTCCATTTCGGCCATAGCCTGAAAAAAAGGAAAATACGTCAAGCAGACTTTTTTGTTTTAAGTTTCAAATCTTCATAACGGGAAAAGAAACATTTCAGAATATTTGTAACATTATAGAAGAAATTACGTTTATAAAACGCTTATAACAGAAATTATAGGCAAAGAAAAATCATAGGGAATAATTATAGGGAGTAGGCTCTAATTTTAATAGAATAAAAGACTTTTCGTTGGGAAACGTAATAACACCACACCAAAATTTCTGGCCTCGTTTAAAAAAAGGAAAATTGAAAATCAAAGTTTTTTGATGCTATGATGCTACCTCTTCACTGAGTCTTCTGGGTGGTGGTGGTCGAAGTTTATCGGCATTGAGGTATAAAAGCACAAAACTAGACAACTGAATCGCTGTTGACAGTAACGCCAGTCCAAATTTGGCCTGTAAAACCCTGTACATCTCTTCCAAAACAGAAAATTTAATTACATATAAACGTTGATGATTTGCATTAAAAAAAGTAAAATTTTTAATTACAAGTAAACTAATTAAGGAAATTCAATTACATATACAACAAATCCACGACTTGATCACCCTGCTTACAAAAAGTAAGAAAAGAGTCACCATCAACAACAGTGCTAATAGCTTGATAAAATTATCTTTAAAGTTAACTTAATATTTCAGCACACTACGATGTACTGTTCTTTTTATATCCCAATTTCCAAATCCATGAAGGGTAAAACTCACGGATAATAACGATAGAGACAAGCAAATAAATTTGGAATTTCAAAACTTCAAATATTTATAACTTAGATGCATTAATGCGACAGAACAAAAAAAATTTAAAAAATAAAACCAACATGATGACTTATAAATCGCGCAGGTGGTGCAAATTCATGGCCCAGGTGAAAATATCGAGTACCTGAAGCGATTCTAAAAGCACAGGTTGCAAGTCTTTTCGAATAAAGCATCTCTTACGTCACAGCTGCAAAGGTTACAAACTGCAAAATGATAAAATATATGCAATGATGCGATAATATCCCCTCAAATTAGGATTTAAAAAAAAAGTTCTGTAAATAGTTACCTACAGCATACATATAAAAAACATATTTAAGGAGTGCTGGAGGTTATAAGTCAAATACATATCTGTCATAATCTTTTTGATACAAAATGTTCATGTCTATCCTACTGTCATACAGTATCAGAATAGACATGAACATTTCATATCAAAAAAATATTTTAAGCAAAAATTTTTTCTACTGTTCACCTTCAGAAGCACGTATTTCTGCTAAATATAAAATTAGTACTACTGTCATAATTAGTGATTGTCTGTAGATTAACTGAATTGAAATATGACTTAAAAGGAATGTCCTTCAAATTCTAATCCATAAGGAAACATATTCAAATGCATACATTATTTTAATTAAAAGGGATACAATGCATGTTATAAAAGAGGAAAGTTTATAGCAATTGTAAAGTGTTCTATTCACGTCTAACTGAAGCCTTATACGTCTTAATACAAACTACTTAAGTTAGAATGTTTCTTTGCTATATAAATAGAATGAAATTTTATTTATTCTAAACAGACTCTACAATAATCACGCTACCCTAACCTTCAAAGCAACCACACAACTGCAGAAAACAATCACGCAATTCATTCGCTCAATCAGATATAGACCAAGCATCACTGTGCTATTTTGACACACTCTTTATGACATATTATTTGTGCTATAAGAAATGAAGCACAATGGCTTGAGACAGCCATCACTGACCCCAGATGACCAATGAGTGCTGTTTAATAGCGCAGCGGGGAGTGAATTAAGTCATCTCATTAAGTCATTATTTCTATTCTTCATTGAGAATCTTTTCTCTTCCCCCAATTACTTTCTAGCTATTTAGTTGCATCATAGTTCTGTTGCATCATAATTCCAACGGTCTCATAAACGTGAAACAATCCTCTCTCCCCTTTTGTTCTTATCCATCTTTTGTGACGTCATGAGACCCTCTTCCTTGACATATAAGTTAATATTAATGCGTAATTTAAAATACTAGCAAGAGCCATTAATCAAATCATCGAAACAATTACAAGAATGATCTTTTAACTAAAATATTTATGAACAATATAGTACAAAAGCAATTAGAAATAAAAATACTAAGAAATACTAAGAAATAACAAACTAATACAAAATGTCCCGTTTGTTTACAACAGAACATTGAAATATTCAATAATTCTATCTTTCAAGCATTATCTTTCGGACAATATGAAACCACGAAAATGCAACATCCCCAATAAGAAATGACAATTATAAGAAGACTTAGGAAAAGATATGATGCAGCTATATATTGCATATAATGCACGGTTCAGCCACAAATTTAAATTCAACCTCTTTACTTCTGGAAATAAGGCATTAATGCTTGCTGCCTGCCAGCTTACAGATCTCCTCAAGGTCCATTTCTTAGGGGCAAGAAGAAAAGGTACTACTTTGCATGGAAGTTAAAAACTTGTTCTGACAGATAACCAGCAATATGACCTTTGGTTTTTAACAATACTGCAAAAGTACCTGAATTACAAACCAAATACATTTAAAAACTTGAGAACAAAAAAAGAAAGTAAATGATTTAACACAAGCTCACGTGCACAGTCAGCGTATGAGCAAATAAATTCCATTTCTGCGATAAAACTTCTAGTTACAATAAAAGGTCAACAGATACTCAAAACAATAAATGAAAAATGCTGAGATGAGAGAATTAACAAAAGCCAAGAAGCATTTGGAATTCTCCGGAATTTATGTACTTTTAAATTCCGTTCTTTCAATCACCTGAATGTAAAGCCATGCCGAAATGAAACCGATACGACACACGAAGATTTAAGGAAAAGTTCAATACCAAAATAGCTTAAAATAAGCAGTCAAATTTTTAAAATGAGAAAACGTAAATAAGGAAAACTTGGAAAGTATATGACACAGTGAACCCCAGTTTGTTTTCAAACACAGTAGACTCTAGTTGTTTCCAGTTTCTCAAAAGTTCATCAGCTATTCTTATATTACATTATCAGTTAAAAAGATAAAATGTTAGATGAAAATATATTCCACATTTTGCTATTTATATAAGATTTATGTAAGAAATATAAGCAGAGTTTCGCTTCAATAAATTTCATCTAACTAGTACACACTATAGAACTGAAAATAGTTCATATAATCATGTCCCAATGTCTTTCCCTGTATTAGTATATAAAGCTCAAAACTGAGAGATTAAACTGTTCTTCACTTCATGATGCATAAACTTAATGTCTGCTATATATATAAGCCAATCAATGTGTATTATCCTGGAAAAATGATATACTACTTATGTGTGGAAGGAAAGCAGATGTGTACTCATTAAGGTATAAATGTAATTTTTCTCTGCATACTAATACAAAGCACGAAAATAGATGAAGACATGAAAAAAGAACTAGTGGTAATAACTGGCACGAAAATCAGTCACCTTTTCTAACTTGTTGATACATACTCAGAAGCCTTAGATTAAAGATAAATTTTTCAAATGTTGAAAGTACCGCCATCAAAATTCTTTAGTCTACTGTTATGCATGGTGGGTTCTGGAGGCAGGACAATCGAAGGTATACTGGATTGAACCGTAACAGTCGTGAGAGCTGATGGTGCTGCACTCAGTGGCCCACTTTTCATTCGAGACATTGCCGATGAATTGATGTTCAGTGACTGTACATGAGCAACATTAGAGTAACGAGTACTACTTGATACTGTAATACCACTGGGAGTTGTGCTGATAATGCGGCGCTTAAAACCGGCATCCATTGATGGATGTGAAATACTATTCGTACGCTTCACTAAAGATCTTGCAGTAGTAGTAGGCCTCACGGTAGTACCATTTGTTCGTGAAGAAACCGCTTTGACATAATGGCTTGTTGTAGGCCTTTTAATTATATCATCCTTCATAAGTTGTCTGTAAAATGAACAGCTTATTCGTCATTACCTTTTAAGAAAAAGCAACTTTAAAAGTTTCTTATAGAAGGAAAAGGTCAATAATTTTGAAAGCATATTATTATGACACAAATATTTGGCAGTTTCTTATGCTTCAGTTGTGCTCACTTATTTTGCAACTGTAATCTGTTGAATATTTCTATCCGATATGTTCAATCTAACATGAAAGTCTCAAAATCAGTAAAAACTCTCCCACTCATTACAACTTACACTTCCCTTCCTTGGACTGTTTCACTGATGCGCTGCAAATCGCTTGCAAAACGAGAAACTGCGTCATGCAAACTATTGGTATCCGAACTTGTCCACTTCCTGAAATTTCGTTACTTAAGGCACATCCTATTTTTTTTCTGGATCCATCGCTAATGAGCTAATGAGCAATATGTCCCTCTGGATATAAAAAAATATAAACAACCAGCAATATTTAGTGGCATTTATGGTGACATAGAAATGCAAAGGTCAGCACACCAGACGGAACAGCTAATAAAAACCTTCCCAGCATTGATTCAAACTCTCTAGTATTCGCTCCATCGTTCATACTGACCTTTCCAATTTCGTTCATTTATTTGATACTGGTATCAAGAATTAAAATTACAAAATTTCCAGACATAATTACACTTTCCTAAAGTTCGAATGAAATAAAAAATTGTGGGAGATCTGGTAATGAAACCTATAGCTGAAGTCCATTCAATAATCAGAAGCAAAAAAGAACCTCTCGACTCCATTTTTCGGATTATGCAAATTTGCAATAAGTCCACCCAACTTCTGAAAAGCTTGTCCAGCAGCCAAGAAGACTTCCGAAACCTGACAATGAAAACTTTTAAAGTACCAGTTTTGCATTTAATCTAGCAAAATATATTGGACAGAAAATACATATTTAACACCTTTTTTTCATAATGAAAAATCCTGCATTAATGCTAAAATGTCCGAGCACACAACCCAAATTCAACTTGATGCTTAATCCAACAAACATCCACTCAATCAACGGTGCCTTCTATCAGTACTAGTGACAGCCAACGCAATACAAACGACAGTGTATTAAAAATTTTGTAATTTCAACTGACGTAATATATATATTAAAGTACCTTTTGAGCAGAAGCACCTGAATTGGTCGGTTGCTCTTTCAGATTCTCTGTGGCAGGCATGGACGCACTCGTCGACGGCGTTACGTCACCTGGACGGCAATTCATTTTGCTCCTCCAAAAGATTACATTCAACTTTTTTCTCATTACACAAACAACAAGCGGCTTCCTTTCTTCTACGCTCCTAGTTAGGTAACAACAAGTGGCGGTTCGCACTGGTAATATCACTGCTCACCTCCAACTGTTACCTCTAAAACAAGATGCAACCTTCTAGCACCATGTCTTCAATGTAAACAAAAAGAAGACCCTTGTCCTCTCACAAAAGTTCACGCAGCCCACGAATGAAACATCCATCCCAGAAGAGGAAATTAGTTGAATAGGTTTGAAGAGGTCGCAGGAATGCCATGGCTGTATCGATATCTGATGGAAGTTGATTTACATTAGCAAATTCTTTAGTATGATTTATTTGTAATTCACTTGTAGTGAACCGCAAGCTGTGAATACAAAAAACACAAAGTATTAAAGAACCAAAGAACCGTTGAAGAAAAAACTTCCAAAATTGTATTTCCGATCATTTCTTCAACACAATGTCAAGAAAGAGTCCAATGTTTCAATGCTACTCTTGTCGCATAACTCATTCAGGTAAATGGAGCTATTAACAGTATTTCAATTATGTATCTTTCGAGAAATCTTTCATCCGCCGCAACAATATTAGAAATGTTAGAAATCGAAATACACCAAGATATCAGCGGGATGATTCCGAAAAGATAATCATCATAGAATTTGTAGAGGAATGAAGACATCAAAGAACAGCTCCCGAGACTTATTTTTTGCTAATTGATATGCAGATATGCACATCTAATAATTTACGATTTCTTCACAAAATTTATTTTATTTTATCACTGAGTTTCAATTATTATAATACATAAGTACTCTGAAATGCGGAATTACAGTAGTTGATTAGTTATGCGAAAATTATGGAATCCAAACGAATGCAACATAATATAACATAACAAGAAATATAGTCAACCATAATTTCATTCTTTCACTTCATAAAGAAAATAATTTCTACTCTCCACCTTGTTCAGCAGTTGTAGCATTAGAAATGACCATAAAAATTAAAGCTGCAGCTATATACATCCACTAAAAACAAGTCATTCATTATTTGTACTATTAATTATTTTCTAACAATGGTATATTTAGATTATAGAAACCATAAGAACATACAAACATCTTTTAATTAGAAAAACCGATAGTTTTTTTCCACTTACATATTTCTGTATAAAGGATCGATTGTCCTGTTGAGCCCCATGTTGCCTCGCTTGCCGCTCCTTCTCCATCTTTCGAATATATGAAATTGTATCAGGCCTTAAAGAAACCATTAGTGTACACATTTCAAAAAATTGCCGTTTGGCACTATTAATTAAACATTTTATATTTCATTAACTATTCAATTATTTTCTTTTAAAGTTACTAAAAGAAATTACAGAGGCAATTCATTAATTGTGTTCACCACAACCGATCCTCTAATTTTACTCTCCTCTGCAAACGAATTTGTTTCGCAAAAGTGATAATTTGTTCCAACATAAAATAAATTCTCCGGAAAAACAGCCAAAGACTGCAAATTCTGACGATCCGGGTCCAACAGTACCCGAAAATGGTGAGCTCCGTTAGCTTGCAACATCAAACACTGAAATCTGATGGAAATAACTGTTGCGTTTTCAAAGGATCTTTGCAAAAACTTTAAAAAATAACATTTCTTGCAAGCGTACTAATAAAGAAATTAATTTACCAGTGTTTAAATTAGTTCTGAAACGTCGAAAATCTTTTTTTAACTCCAAAACTGTGCATGAAGTGGCAATATCAGGAACTTTATTCTAGCAGATTTTAATTATCAATCATTTAGCTACTGTTTGACGCACACAAATATTTTACACAAGTTGACATTGTAGAATTTCAACTAAACTGACTCACCGGTTCATTGTAACCCTGTACATTTTCTTTATCATTGTCAGCTCTAACGCGATAAATCCACCCATTCTTTGTAGCTCGCAAGAGATCACTTTGCCATTTATTTGGATTAACAGAAGATTGAAAATACGCCGTATAATTACTATCAAATGTCCTATCCACAGTTATGCTACCAAGCGGAACAAAATCGTCTGCATCTGTAAATAAAAATAAATATTAAACAAGAAATTTGAGAAATATGTAGGTGACAGTTCAAGTATTCCATCTCTGAATTCAGTTTAAAATGAAAATCAGTTTCCAAATCCAGTTTTATCTATCAGTCAAATTTCCGATAGTTTTCAAGATTTGTACGAATCCCTTCCAAGCCTTCTTGTGAAGCAAAATTTTCGCCCCCTCGAGATATGCAAAACTTATTAGGGGAAAAGAGTTGTGTAATAAAAATAATAGAATAAAACCTGAAGCCGAATATTGCAGATCGATCTTCCAATGACCAATTGCTTGAACATACTGTAGAGAACAAAACAATAAAACAAACATCCTGCAATAGAGCTCTCGATTTGAACGTTTATTATAGTACAGTTTTATAAAAATTCCTCCCAAATCTATCATTCAAATATTCCAATTTGGCAGCAAAAGTGGAAAATGACTGTATTGAACTTCACCGAAATTAAGAAAAAAAAAAATCAAGATTTTCTTATGATATCGCTCTAATTAATTCTTTCTTCCATGATTGTTCTGAAAAAGAATTAGTTCATTGAAACGAAATTCCTTTTTTTTTTTTTTTTTTTTTTTTTGTACAAAAGTAAGAAATCGAACTGAAACCACAAAATAACACAAATAATTTTCACAAGATGTTCGTGCAACCGAATCATAAGTGATTATGAGAAATTTAAGATTTTATTTGAATATATTTATCAACTTTGATATTTATATAAACTTTACATCCACAAAAATACAAACAACACGACAATGATATACAATCTGTACAATTATTGTTAAAAAAAAAGTTAATCATCCAAATGAGTTCACCAAATTCAACATAAACAAGCTGAATGAAAAATAAAATGAATGTTTTAGAATTTCTTCAGAACATGGAAGCAGTCGAAAAATTTTCACTAAAACATTGCTAAGTGAAAATTATTGCAAAACTATAGTAAACTTTAAGTTTGGAAGTCTGAAACAAAAAGTTCCCATATAGTATAATTTGTGAAAGTTCGACGTCCCTTGAACCTTGCGAGATCTTTCCGAGTAATGATTCCACGAAGCTGAAAATCATTTCGTATTAAACATATAACAAATAAGAATTCGGATTTGAAATAAAACTGCAAATGAAATCATAATGATGTACTAGAAAAAAATTTAAGTACTTTATTTTCATCGTCAACGACAGCTACATAGCGCAGTCCTAATCCACGAAACAGATGAAATATAGAAGGTAGTGAAGCACTCAAAGGTACTCGATAGGGACTTGAATGCATATAAGGAGTTAAGTCCAGCCAACAATTTTTATCTTCTTCAGACAGTTGTAACTTTGCTAAGCATTTATCATGCCTGAAAATACTCACAGTGCAGCGAAAAACGGAAGCTAGTAAAGAATATAATGGATTCTGAAATAACTTAACTTGGGTATTCGTCGGCGAAATCAGAAAGTTGAACCAATTCGCTTCCATCAACCAAAATATGGCAGTCAGGATCCTCATAAAAAACCTAAAAATAGCTTAAAAATAAAGATGAAAAAATAATTTTAAATTTTACAGTAAGCTGGAATTATGAATGATGGTTCTATTTTGCTTGTCTGTAATATGTCCTGTTTAGTTAATGTGACTGGAGAAAAAACTTTTCAGTGTCCTGGAAATAATTTGCTTTTCAAAATTAAAAGACCAAAGTGTGCAGAGACTTGTCACGAAAATGTACCAACTACCGTTAAATGATAATTGACTATCTTTGCACATCAGTAACAGAAATGAATCAATATATAACACAAATAACAAACGTTAGAAAATCTTCTAAACATCAACAAAATGAACCAGAAAAGAAAAAAAATAAGGACATCAGAAAAGTTAGCTTACCCGTTTCTTCATCAGAATAATCAGTTGCGATTTCAAGATTAACCCCTTCAGATGACCGTATTCCGGGATTTTTTCCTCAGTTGACGGAGAATTAATTTCATCAATAACCGGAAAACCGTGATGTGATGTGGCATGTAAAACTTCAATCACGCGTGAAACACGTTCTCTTGGCATCATTGTTACTACATCCCTTCTCATTATACTCCTTGAAAATCATGAAGAACTATATTACAAAACAAAAATGACATCTCCCTCATAAGTAAGCTAAGCATTTATCATACAATAATTTTCTTTTGCAGAAATATTCAGAGAAAATAATCAGAAGGTAAAGGAAGCTAATACGTATTTCATCTTAACGACAAAAGTTCTAGAAATTTTCTGTAACCCTTTTCAATCGGACAGAGAGAAGGTGATAAGGAGAAAGAGAGAGATGCACATTTTATCAAAAGATAGCTAAAATTACGATTCCTACCCAAAATGTAGCGAATATCATTAACTTTCTTGATAAACCATTAGTTTTTCTCTTCATTTGTAAAAATTTACAATCATAAACAAGATTCAGAGTGTTTGATATGTACAGAAATATTTGCTACACTACAAAATAGCTCATATTTGTGTAATATTTGTAAAGAAACTTACCCTGCCAATATATTGCGTGATAGTTCCGGTGCACACCAACCCAAAATCGGTACTTCATTTAATTCAATATGTGCATCATAAAGACCCTAAAATAAGAATCATTACATAATCATTTAATAATACTTTTACATTACATATATATTCAAAAAGATACCTCATTAAAGAAGTCGCCAACCCATTTAGTAACCATGAGAACAAGCATTATTGGCAAACCAAATGTAATATCTCTGGTTGCTTCAACGAGAATAGCAGTTAAGCTAATTGTCATCCGTACAACACCACCCAGTTGGGCTGCAGCTCCGGCAAGAGCATATTTACCAGGATGAATACCAGTCTGTTTAAAAAATATTTAGCAACAACAATTCCAAACATACAATTCAATACCATCAAAACCAAAAAATCGAAAATGGCTGATGTAACTTATCACTTACAACGTCAGGAAACATATATTCGACGATAACTCCAACAAGACGACCCCATGATGCGCCAGTTAACAAGGTGGGTATGAAAATACCGCTCGGTACTGATAGCCCATATGTCCATAACGATAAGAAGTAATACTCAACAGCGAAAATTAATAACGTACTTGCCGCATATGAATCTAAAAAAGTACACCGAAATAATTGTTATCACAAAATAATTAAAATAGGATTTCAAGATACTACTACTTTCCTTAGTAAAATAGCTCATGAAAGCTAAACAAGAAAATAAAATTGCAATTCCCTTAAAAAACATCCAATTCCGAAAATTATCAGCTCACTTGTTGGACTATGAAACAGACTTTTAACACTTTCTTCTGGACTTTGAAAGAATAAATTTGCAACAGCGCTGTATTGACCCTTGCGACACCACAACTGTAAACCAAAATTTATTTATTTATGCATGTTAGTTAAGCAGAATATTGATTTTCTCCTCAATTTTTTTTCTAAAAATTTGGACGTTGTTCCCTCGACCAAAAATTTCGCACGAAAATCTTGAAATTCCACAAATTTGATAAATATCAAATTATCATAAAAGAAATCCGTCAAGCACATTAACCTTTGTAACCTCAGTTAATTTTGGATTACGGCCAACAGGCTGGCAATCATTTACTACGAAAAGTGTAACAAATCCTGTAAACGCAGATGCTGCAGCTACTAGTAAACACTCCATCAACTTCTGGCATTTGCTTCGAATATATCTTAAATGAAAATAAATTTCAAAACATCAAAAGAAAACAATTTAAAAAGCATTACAGACTTCCTCTTCACTTCTTTTAATAATATAACACACAGTTATCATCCCATAATTTTTCGCAGCACTCGAAATTATAACTAACTTTTTCCTGAATCGTGAAAGTTTCAAATTAAGGGAATTGAATAAAGCACCAGAAAGGCCTCCAAGAACACCAATGAGAAGAAAGATCGGTATTTCCCAAATGTTGTAGCTATGATTCTCAAAAAAAAAAAGATGTATTTTTCAATATGAAGCAAGCTTTATTATATATATTAACAAAAAAAAAACTGATCAAGTGACTACTAAAAATTTTAAGTAACTATTAAATTAAAAAAAGTAGTTATCGACATAAAGTGAATATCACCTCGAAAACACCGAAATTTGCTAGCCCATTCCATGATAAAAAACCACCAACTCCATGAAATACACTGAGAATGCAATTCAAAGTAAATGATGATATCATGGCAGCAAAAAACTGAAATGAGCTAAAACTTTGCCGCACGTCGAATGGAAATAGTACAACTACCAACATGCCGGAAAATCACTGCTTGAAAATTTTCATGCATTACTAAGAAAGAGTAAAATTTAAAGTGATACCAAGAAATTACTTAAAAAAAAAAAGAGTAGAAAAAAGAAACCATGCGCCACGTTAAACTTTGATTCCAAAAGCTAGCCCCTTCTTCTAAACTGAACAAAACTCCACCAATTGGCGCACCAAAAGCCGCAGCTACTCCAGCTGCAGCACCTGCACTCACGAAGTCGCGCTTTTCGCTGAAAATTATTTCTTCAAAAAAAGTGAGTTCCTAAACTCATATATTGCTATTGAAAAATTAAACTCACCGATCATTTCTAAATTGTTCGAAAATGTGGAAATCGAGTGAGAAAGTGACGCATTTGCCTTGTGAAATACCAGCTGCGACTACCGCTCCAGAATGAATCATTGGCCCTTCCTGTATTTACTCTAGGTAGAATTTATGATTAGCAAATCATAAACAATTGTGCGATTTAAAAAGTTGATCAAGCAGCTATTCAATAACAATTCCATTAAAAAAACGACAGAAACAGATAAAAACAATATTACCTTTCCCGCACTTAAGCCACCAGCAACTGTACATGCTACACCAAATGCTTTTGCAAACAAAGTTTTCAATCGTACAACACCCGGTATTTCTACACCATTTAGAAAACATTTGACTTGTGATATACCTAAAGGCTAATCATTAACAGTCAATACCAAAATATTTACTTATGACTACAATTTTTTTTATAAATACTTTTTAAAAGCTGTTCAAAATAAACCTGAACCAGCAGCAATAGGAGATAGGAATATAACTAAACATGCGGAAATAGTGACCAGAATACAATTGTAGCAAATCCATGCAAATTCTACCGTCCATATGCAACCACCACCAACTTCCATTCGTTTCTCACAGAAATTTAACACTGAAAATAAAGAAGAATCATGACATACAATACATATTATTTGCAGTTATGAAAGATGAATTCATAAAATGCTTACAATTGCTAATGATCAAGCGGAATTTGACTACACTACTGTAATATATCGTTATATCTATAGCAGCCGCAACAATAGCAGTTAAAACTCCAATAAAGAAACACACTACCCAACGATTCACTGATTGGCGAAAAAGTTTTCGCTGCAAAGAAAGGATAAATTTTAAAAATACACAGCTTTTAATTATTAATTTCATTAGATGAACAACAATTTCCAAGTAAGTTACAACGAATTCACAAGAGATCTTATAAAACAAAGAAGAACATTGTTTAAAATAACAGCGAATATGTGATATTTCAAGCATTACTTCACGGTTAATTTAGGAAGATCTCGCAGTTCGAATCTTTCTAACATCATAAAAATTTGTGCAACCAAAGAAACAAATAGATAATTGGAGGATAAAGAAGTTTCATCGAAAAATAAGTGCATACCTGATGACCAGGTTCCATCTCCTCAGCCCGAAAAAGCTTATTTTCAACAATTTCATAATTCAAACTTTCATATCGTGAAGAAACTGCGCCTTCTTTCTCCATGTTTTTAAATGAATCATATTGGCGAGAATCTTCTAATTCACGTTGCTCCTGTTCACGACTTCTTCGCCTTATTTCTGCATTCTCATTTGCAAAAGATGCTACCCTTTCGAGACCCGTTGCAGGATCTTCATTTGGATCCAAACTAAAATTATTTACTGTATTCAAAAAAAAAAAAAAGAAAAAAAATACTTCCATTTGGATTTTATTCTCCAAATAACATGACTATTAAAAGAGTTCAACTATATCGGTAACATTTCTTTTATCGTTAATTCTATTCCATTTGTATTGAATTCTACAAGACTTTGAATATTATATTTTAAAATCATTCGAAGTATTACTTCTCATATTCGCTTAGATTCCCTTATTTCTAACACTCGATTTATGATAATATCGAGATTAAGTAATGTCACTGAAACCACAGTTTTAATCAAATGAGTATCAAGATCAAATAATATGACTGAAACTATAATTTCAATTAAGTGAAAGCTATAAGCAATCAATGATCAATTCAAAAAAGAATGCTAAACTAACGTTGTTAGTAATGGCGTTCGATCACTCATGCAGCTAAAATAAATGATACTGATAATCTCATATAGAGTACCAGATGATTTAAAAATTAATCAAGTAAATTACTCTAACACAAATCAAGTAAGTGATTAAAATATCATATCAAAATGAAATTGTAGAAAAAGTCTTCAAAAATTACAACGGGAAATTGGTAAAAGACAACAAAAAAAATTCCCAATTCTGACCTCCTAACTTTAGCACATATGAGAGTAAATCATCATGTAATAATGAAATTTCCATTTGAATGCTCAATTATATTGAATTCTACAAGATTTTGACGATTTTGATTTTAAAATCATTCCAAGCACTACTTCTCTTATTTGCTTAGCTTTTCTTATTTCTAACACTCAATTCATGACAATACCTAGGTTAAGTAATATAACTGAAACCATAATTTCAATTAAGTAATTATATTTGCCTCCAAACTGGACTAATTCCAATCCATTATTCACCAATTCTCTGTACTCCCATTTAAATTCAGATCAAATAAATCACTAACTTCAACCATATTATGAATTTCAGACAATCAAGCAAGCACATTAATGATTTCAATTTATTTTTCATTATTTTATTAATATTAGTTCGCATTAGAAACAAAATATAAAAAAAAAACCGAAAAATATAAAAAAATCTTTGCATAAACTATTGAAAAATTTTTTTCGAACAAAAAAAAAAGGAAGTCCTCGAATAAACTATGAAATAGGTCGAAATGATGATTTTCCATTTAGACAAACAGAACAAATAATAAAGCGATACTTCATATTGACAAACAATGAACATAAACACAATCGATGACAGCTCTTCTGTAGAATAAGTCAAAGTGTCAAGTGATGTGTCAAGAGGTTGCATGTTAACCAATCTTTTCATTTTAAAATTGCAGATATAATGTTAAAGTTCAACGAATATTTGTATATCAATAACAGTTAACAATATTGAAATACATTTCAACAATACAACAATTTTGACCAATTTTCATTGGTAAATGTTATGCAGTCACATTTATAAATGTTTAACCTTCTCAATATTTTTCTTTATATAAACAATGGTTATAATTCTTAGCTTATTGCAAAATGCAATTCATTTAAATCTACAGCAATGATTAGCACTTGACGAGATGAATAATGAATAAACACCTATTAAATTTCACAGTATTTAAGACTAAATAAGTAATCTTTCATTTTACTTAAACCATTTTTATTGAAAACGAAAATTAATTTAAACAAAATATGAAATTTAAGAACTACTACGCAATAATTATGGTTAATTATTACTAAACTGCACAATAATTACGTTTAATTATAATTATCATGCAGCAATTCTGTTTAAACTGATGTGAAAAGAAGTCATTAAAAACTGATTTGTACATACTGTTCTCTCTCTATCAAAAGATCTAAATTCATAGACAATGACCATCACACTTCGCAAATTAACTAATTAGAACATTCACATACTAACTTGTTCATCGTTTTAGTAATAATGCTGCTTCTGTTGATCAACAGTGAGGATAACAGAAATTCAGTTCTTTTCTGAGCAAAAAGTGTAAAAACTTCCACAGTTACTGTTTCAAATAAGTAGAGTGAGGTCATTGCTATTACGACATATGCTTTTAAGTTTCTGCAACGGTTTATATTAAAAAATATTTAGCAAATCAAAGATAAGTATTATTGAAAAGATAGTGTAAAATTAAACAGGAATTACTAGGTTATAATTCAAAATACAACAAACAAACAAAAAACTTATTAGGGAAAAAAAGAAACTTGATCAAAATGATCAAAAAGAAACCTTCATATCTTTGATCTTCTTAGAAACGAGATATTTCAATTAAATACTTCTCGAAAGCCTCTTGATGTCTTTCAATAACAAGATCTCTTAGGTTCTGATCATTGAGTATTTCCAGTAACAAACTGATGGCAGCATTGTTAGTTTGTGCATTTGCGCCGTTTTCAAACTTCTTTCGTTCATCCTGTGTTTTTGTTGAAGTTGATGTATTTGAACTAACTTGATATTTCATTTCGATTTCTTTTGAGGAGCTCGCAGTCTCGGAAGCTAAAAATCCGTTAGCTAAAGTATACTTCTACAATAAATAAATCAGAGAATTACTTGTCCATAATAAATGCTTTACTAGCTCTTACAAGAATTCAAATGATTGGAAACGTTTCTTATTATTAAATCTTTTTTAAAAGAACCAAAAGAACTTTTAAAAAACAAACAAACAAACAAACTTTTCAAAACGAAATCTGTGATTGCGAATATACCCGACTCATTAAATGTTTTATTCCACTGCCACAGATATACCTTCGGTATATTAAATAGTGTACTTCCCAGACCAAATTCAACGTGATCCGCTCTACTGTCTACTTTCCAGACTCTAATAGGTGATTCATTCTGCAAAATAACATCAGAGAATCATGAAGTTATAATCCATTTTAGCAATATCCAGAATTGCAGATTATACACTTCTCAAACATAAAAATCAACAATGATTTCCATGTGAATAATAATAACATTGATAATGATGATCAGACTGGAACGGAACAAATAATTATTCGAACAATTATTCATTATTCAAACAATTCTAGCATTTTGAATGAGATAGAAAAGAAAAAAAGTGCTTCAAAATTCCTAGCACAGCATATTCATATTCACTAATATCAAACAGTTGGCGATTTATGAACAGTTTGTATTCGATGCCAGTGAAACAACATTAAACAATATTAAATTCTTTATTAAAAACTGACCTCATTTAACACAACCCAGAATCGTGTCCCAACCACTGGTGGCCACAATATTTTATCGGTACAACCAAACGCGAACTTATGCAATTTGATAATACCAAAGGGTGGACATAGAAAAGCAGCTGTAGCACCTTCAGTTGAGCTGGGATGGCGCTCACGTAAAACTACACCAAGGAATTTCTATAAAATTCTTACTAAGCACTGTAGTTACAACTGTAATGATATCTTTAATCTGGTTAAATAAAGAAGCAAATTCAATGTATATGAAGAGTTTAAAATCATAACTTCATAATTCAATTCACAAACTCTTAAATGATAAATAAATGAAAAAGAACCTAACTTGATTACTACATGTTTCCGGAATAATGACTTGCTTTGCGACTTTTACAAGTTTATTGCCACAAGAATAAGTGTGTCCTTGAGAAAAGACTAAAATATCCTCTAAAAAGAATACCTGCAAGACATTTCAAATCTTGATAACAAATTTGAGATTAGAAAAAAAGGTCATAAATAAAAGTAAAAACCCGATCTTAAAAAAAACCTCACTAACTCACAAATTCCTCTGAATTCGATTACCTAAATACTGATTTACATTTTGGTAAATCAATTATCTAAATTTATTTATAAAAAGTTCATTAAAATCTAAAGCCAATTTTTTGTTAAAGAATTGATTTAATCCAGAAAACATTACAGCCATTGAATATTCGCTAAGCTATCATTTGATTGCCCCAATTCTGACAATTCTTTGATCGGTCTATCAGTGGTCTCATAAGATATAATTTGCATTACATCGCTTATACAATTGGTGGCGAGTATTAAAAGGCAACAGTACAACCTGCGTTAATCAAACTATACATATCAAATTAAAAATATGCTCAAAATCACCATTTTTTAAAATTTTTATCCAATTTTCGTCACATGAATTACAGCACGGCCCAAGATCAATTGATTCTGGCCCGAAGATGTATCGTAATCCACTCTCGGGACATATAATTTCTCCAACTCCATCAACGAAACGATCAAAATGTCCCAAATGAAATCCACTCTCATCATTATGACGAAATAATACTGACTGATGTGCACTTGATAACGGTTGAATCGCTGACATTTCTAGAATACCTCAAAAAACTGTATTAATTTATATTAATTTCTAGAGTACTATTTCATTCGATTGAACGAAACAATCACATTTCTGACCTTTCTTATCTGTCAATGAAACAGAAAGAGTATTTTTCTTTACCACTAGCAACCATTCCCTTTCCCTCTATGCTATCAAAAAAATCTCGTCAAAAAAAAAAAAAAAAAACTCAATCTATCACCACCTCTTCACTAATTAAGTTTTCACTCACTACTTTTAAAAGGACTTAGTGGATGTATTAAAGTAAGAGCAACTCTTATCAATATAGGTCTTAAACATACAAGAATGAAATTTCTTTTCCAATCAAAAGCAGCTAAGGTATGAATTTCAACAACAAAAAATTCCTTGAACAAAAACACGAGATGTAATCAAACAATTCACTGCTTCATTCTGCGAAAAAGAGAAAAAAAAAAACAAGAAAAAACCGCAGAACAACACGGAAAAGATAAAATCACAGTTGAATACTTAACAGCAGCGAACCAAGAATTTTTATTTTATAATTTATTTCAAAAATAAAACCCTTACCCACAAAGACAGTGACCAACAACACAACAGCTCATCATCATAAATCATAGAGGAAAACAAAAAAAGCAGATATTTTTATTACATAATTAGGTTCTCTTTGCAGAACTCGAAAATTAGAATAAAACCGGAACAATTTTTCCAAAATTTTTCAAAAATTCTAAGCTCTAATTTTCAAAATTAATTTTCACAAGGCATCAATAATAATTTATGAAACCTACAACAATTTTCTTATGAAAGATGAATTTTAAAATTCTTCCGCACTCTCTGTATCACGAACATACTCGTTTTGGAAACGTTTGAATTTCTCGATAAGATCTTCTAATTTTACTTCACCTCTTACCTTAAAAGAAGAAATTTAATGAAATTTCATTCAGAAAATGGTCAAAAAAGGCACCACATTAATTTTACTAGAACAAGCGTACTGCTATCACTGTCCTAAAGTACCACCTAAATACAATGCTTGCTTCACTCCAAGATTCGAGGATAGATACATCTTGATAAAACACAATCACTACATAAGACTCTAATCCAGTATAAAGGTGTTTGTTTAGCCTCATTTTATCTATTGAATAAGGAAATTATTTGAATACAAGAACTTACTGCATTATCACGAGTACGAACATTTACGGTTCCATTTCGTGCTTCAGCTGGTCCGACCACCAAAATAAAATTGAACTGCGCAATTTGAGCATTACGAATCTGTTTGTTTAATGTGTCTGACGAATCTACATCAAATTCAACCTCGAAACCTGCTTCGTATATCTGTAAATAGATTTAATGATTCCTTCTGTTTAGTACGGTTGAACTTTGAACATTACTTACACACCGAACATATGTTCAAGAAAATATCAAGCATTTTAAAGGCATAATAAGCTATTAATCTGAAATAAAACGTAGGTAAGTTCCTGTTCAATAATAACTCTTGCTGTCTTATGTCTTATCCTCAGTCTAGAAATATATAAAACGCAAAAAATCAAAAAAAAAAAAAAAAAAAAAATCTTCACCAACTGTTTCTGCAATTAGTGACGAAACGACCACTAATGAAAAGATCGAAATGACTACTCATCTTAAATCCATTCTCAAAAAAGAAACTGGTAGGCATTTGATAATGGCTAAACTTCTAACTGTCTCACAATTTAATTCTGGCATAAACAACAAATTATCGGACAAGCAGCAAATAATCTGTTTCCGATTACAAAAAAAACAAAATTAAAAAATAGCTAAGATCAAGAAAAAGTCAATATTCACTTCTTGTTGTACTTTTCTACCATAATCATTTTGAGATTCATGGACCGTGATCACTTTTGCCTGAAAAGAAATATAAACTGTTATTTTACCCTGTTCTCGACGACGCTGAACAGTGATTTCATATCTTTTCAAAAATTCAATGCAAATTTAGTAAAGATACAATGAAAATGTTAGTGTTTGATTTACCTGTCGTGGTGACAACCAAAATGGCCATTTGCCACCATAGTTTTCCGCTAAAATTGCAGTCATTCGCTCTATCGAGCCTAATAAGGCGCGATGAATCATCACTGGTCTTTGCCTCTCATTGTTTTCACTAAACAACTCAGTTACGCATATAATATTACTACACTTGTTTTCATCATATTTTATGATGAATTCTCCTAGGTTTTTTTTATGAATTTTTTTAATGAATTCTTCTAGGTATGAAGAACCATCCTATGATCCTAGGAAGCATGCACACACATAGGAAAAAAAATTACTTCACCTAGAAAAGCCAACAATCAGATTACAAATTATGCCGAAACAATTAAACGAATTTTTAACTGATGAGTTCTTTTTAAAATAAAAAAATAAAATGCAATGAACTTACTCAAAATAAGATAAATCAAATCGGACAGGTAACTGAAAATCAAGCTGTATAGTTGCACACTGATGGAGCCTTCGAAGAGCATCTTGAATTGTGATATCGATCTGGAACAAAAACAAATGTAATTTTAGAGTTTAAAGTCAAGTAAACCATGTAAACCATGAATCTTTAGTTTTAAATTAGCTCAACCTTTGGACCATAAAAGGCACCATCACCAGGATTCAGCTCCCACTTATGTCCAGATGCATTTAGTGCCTCTCTCAATTTGTCTTCCGCAGCATTCCTGCAATTGAATATAAGACAAATTTTTCTCCACAGCATTATTGAAATCAACAAACCTGCCTAATGATATTTTTAACATGAAACAAACGCATTACGATAAAGAACAAAAAGAACTTAATTTTAGATGTTGTGTAAAATTCAAGTCAAGAAAAATAACGAAAAAAATTGCAGCAAATTACTTACCATGTTTCAATATCACCCAGATATCCCACCTCTGGTCTGGTACTTAGATTCAATTTGAATGTGAAACCAAATACATCAAGATAAGCGTATTTGAGAAAATCGATACAACCCTGTGATAGAAAATTTATATCAACAAAAGAAACATACCGAGACCAAAAAAAAACAATTTATGAAAACTATGATTCGAAAAAAATCGAAAAAAATCAGGAACTTAATTTAAATACCATTACTAAAGTAAAGCTTCTCGAAACGCACCATTATTTCTTCAACAACCTGATCTTGGCGACAGAAAATATGGGCATCATCTTGCTGAAAACGACGCACTCGAGTAAGACCAGTCAGTGCACCACTCATCTCGTTGCTTAAAAAATAAAATAGAAAAAGAAAAAACTGCTGAGCTTAATAAATAAAGCTTTCACAGAAAAAATTTCTATAAAAATAGTTCACTCTAATGTTTCATAGATATCGGCCTCAAAATTATTTTAAAAAATAGTTAACAAACGTCACTTCAAGAATATTCGTTTATCAAAATAATGTAGCGTTTTTCGAAAATTTTCGAAATTTCCTACCGATGTAATACACCAAAATCAGCGTATCGCAGAGGCAACTCATTGTGAGTACGGGGCATATGGGAATACATCAAGCAGTGTCCTGGGCAATTCATTGGTTTAAGTCCAAATGTTTCCTTTTCAATATCGATTCTAAAATACAAATTATTTCGAATTTACTTTGAGAAAAAAACTCATCAAAATTTTTTATTGGTTACCAGAACTTTTTTTTTTTTTTTTTTTTTGCTTTGTTTGATTAAATTATTGACAAAAATTACTTGAACATATTATCCGAATAATGCTCCCAGTGTCCCGACTGCTCCCACAATTTGCTATTGTACATATTTGGTGATATAACCTAAACAATGACAAAATGTTTTTGCAACAAAACAAAATAAAAATTGTCTCAAATCCTCAAAAATTGCCCAAAGTACAACTTAGCATATTTTCAGGTTGAACGGTAAAAGAAAGACTTGAAACTAGCGCAAAATGCTAATGGTAGAATGAATCTTTCCTTTCATTAATACGCTACTAGGTTCAAGCCTTTATTTAGTGATATTAAAGGAAAAAAAATTCAGTAATGAGCTACAAAACAGCAAATGATGAAACCTCAGTAAATCCCCTTTTGCGATACTCTTTGCGTATGAAATTGCATAAGGTGTTGTAAATATGAGCACCTTTTGGATACCAGAAAGCTGAGCCAGGACTCAATGGATGGAAGAAATACAATTCCTGGTCACGTCCAATTTTCCTATGATCTCGTTTAGCTGCCTCCTCCTTAGAAAATTTGAAGAAAATTTAAAGTGCAACATTTATAAGAAATATGCCAGAAAATTTTTCTTTTTACAAATATTATAATAATCATTAGAAATGCAATACATCCCTAAAAAGTAAAACTCTAATGTGATATATCACTACTAAAAAGCCCGTTCAATACTGCCACTCAAGCAACATCTCTTTTTTGAACTTTTGAAGATGCTATCCACTCTGATCATACTTCAAAGCTCTGACTGTTAATATAAATAATCTTGACAAAAATGCTCCTGAACATATCGCTGGAATGTTGGATAGCAATTATATCGTAAAGACCAAATTAAAGTGATGAAAAATGTAGTGATCAAATGTATCTCAGTATTATTACTCCTGACTACAATCCTTGGAAGCCAGAGTTAAAACTGAGAGTTCCTCATTGTTTTAATGAATACTTTTGCACATTTCTGAACGCTTATCTCTTCTAATTTCGAGAAAACGTGAAAACATGTGCTTCGGTAAAGAAGCTCTTTTTAACCACTTCTTTCCATTATCAGAAAATAACTTAATCCAAGATTTCCAAAATAGTCATTACCTAAAAATTTTTTACTTTTTATGACAGGATCAAACTAACCTGCAATTTTTGCCATTCTTTGAGCTGCTTCGAATCAGGAAACGATATCCCATAAATACGGATTAAAGATTCGGCGTCCGATCGTCCTTCCCAGTATGAACTTGACGTTTTAACCACAGTTAAAGCCTTAAATAAAAGTGATGTAACACGACAACTACTAAAGATCTTTTAAAACTCGAAGAACGTTAAATCTCAATTTATATCTAGATAAATGCCAAAGTTCATTTTAACTGGTTAGTACAAATTCCACCACACTTCCATTGTATCCATAGAAACTATGCAGTATCAAACACTATACATACCAAATCAAGTAAATTCATATATGCTTATGTGATTTACGAGATTAGTTGAGAGATTATGATCAAATTAAAAAAATCAAATTATGAACTACTTATTCGCACAAGAAAATTTTAAAAAACCCAAAAAATCCATGAATACCTTCACTTTCCCAGTATGACGCACATGAGGTCCTCGACATAAATCAATCAGTGGCCCGCAACGATATACAGTGGTAAAAGGAGTTGTGATTTTCTCGTTTATAATACGGACCTAAAACAACAAAAAAACCTCATAGCTTCATTTCAGTATTCTAATAATTCCACATAAAAACTTGCGATTCCTACAGAATGACCTATTAATACCTTGAATTTATTGTATTTGAACATTTCCAGCAGATCTTCTTTTGAAACAACCAATCGCTCAAATGGTTGCTTGTCCTGTAAGCAATGATGCTATGAAAAATTAAAAAGCATGTCATAATATGGTGCTAGTATTATATACAAAATAATCGACACTCGTTGTGATACAATGACTTCACAATTAATTGAAATTAAAGGTTAAGGAATAACCTTAACAACGCATTTAACAATTTGCTCCAACTTCGGAAAGTCATCTGGAGTAATGGTAGATCCCTGAAAAAAATTTTTTTTTTGATTTAATGCATTTTTGGGGATGGAAATCGATAAAAAGTGCGTGCACTTACAAACAAAAAAATAGTAGTTTCTCATTAATAAGGGACATAATGTGAAATAAGGGAAAGTGTATATGTGAAATGCTGAAAAGAAGAAAAAAAAAAGTGATAATAGACCTCCTTCCACATATCATAATAAAATCCTTCTGAAATCGGTGGACCATAACACAGGTGACCACCGCAATAACGCTCCATAGCCTCACCCATGATATGAGCTGAACTGTGCCAAAAAACCTAAAATTAGGGGTGATAATAATTACCAGTAGTTCTTGCTATTCAGTTATTACAGGAGACATTTTGTTCAACCGAAAAACAACCAAAGCCTTGACCAGTTTCAGGTTTTGGTCCTGCTCGGTCTGTTTTCTATACTTTCGCACCATTCACCTCAGAAACATCATGAATATCAAATTCTGACAATATCTGAAGTGGTGCAATCACAATGGAATTAGGGAAGTCAGTTACATGAATTCAGAAATTATCATTCTTGGAATGAAAGACTTGCGATATTTGCAAAAAATGATTGATAATGAGGATTATATAAACAAAAAGGGCGAGATAAACCAGTGGATACAGCAAATGAAGTTTTGAGAAAACAGAAAAAATATAGAAAAAAGTTATTAAGATACTCGCTCACCTGTTTACCCTCATCATCATCAAACTTCAGAATTTGTAAAGTTGCATCACACTCGAATGGTCTATCCAAATCCCATACCTAGAGAAAACGATTTACTACAAATATAGTTAGATGAATGATAGACATTCAATTCCTAAACAAAGGAAAAATCAGCGAAAATTAAATTCAGAATTGTATAAAAAAAGAAAAAAGCGAAAACCAAAATTTTTTAATAGGAAATTTTCACTTTCATCCCTAAAGATTCATATGGTCATGCTAAGTGACTCACTCTACCTACTTCGTCGACTAATTTATTCAGAATAAGCGTCCAAATCACGAGTGGGGCATTTTAATCAAATACTTCGTTGACACCTGAAATTCCCAGAAGAAAACAAACTTCTCCATTAACTTTCGCTACAACAGCACTATCAGCAAATCCACGACTGATTTGTTCTGCGATCATCAATGGGGTTGTACGCCATGATTCCCCCTCTAACTCCTTTCCATCTGGCAAAGTGATTTTAATTTTTTCTGATTTCTGCAAAATTAATGGGGCTCAGAACTTACTCGATCCAAGCAGAATGAGTGAAAATGAAAACTAAACCAAAAATAAAGCAGTGCAAATTCCATATTCTTTAAGAAAAAAATGAAAGAAATATTTTAAAAAAAAAATACTTTCTCAGCAATTTCTTCGTGGTACTTTGCCATAAGCTTATCGAATAAAGCAATACGCTCTTCAATAAAATTAGGCCAAGGATTTAATTCAATTGGAGCTTTACTGGTTTTCTGAAACGGAAACAAAAGTTAGTATCAACAATGTCGAAAGAACGTACTTAATAACGAAAAAAATATGGATAACAAAGAACTCAGTAGAAAAAAAACTACCAAATATGCAAGATTTCGTTTTCCACCTCTTTCTTTTTCGTTTTCGAATTTAATTTTCTTGCTCATCAATAATAAATAAATAAATATATATATATATATATATATATATATATATATATATATACATAATTATTTTAAATATCATAACCAAATTATTTATTTCATAGAAACAAAAAGAAACAATTATTTGTAATACAATAAATATGATTCGAACTTCATTCGCTGATCCTTTTACTTTATCTCCAGCCATTTCAACTTTGGAAAATTTGTAACTATTTCTGCTGCTGCTGAATTGTAGTTGACAATGCAATCTGGAAATTGATCGCCTGATATTGGTGAAACAGCTACAGCGGTTTCGAACTAGACAATAAACGCTAAATAAAATCGTCAGCGTGGCAAAGCTCAATCCTAAAATAAAAATATTTACGAATGAAACTGAAAACATTGTACGAGGAAATGCAAATATATGAACTATCATCGCTCTTATTGAAGTAAAAGACTGTTAAATGTAAGATATTATAAAGTTGAATATAAGATAAATATACAACGAACAACTAAGTACGATGAAAAAAGCCGAATTAAACTTGACAGATTGTTGAACTGTTTCTAGTACTTGTTACAATTAATTATCAATACTACAATCAACAGTATGCTAGAAAGTGCTTCAAGCTAACATCCCTGAAATTTGTCCGAGAATGAGTAATCCTTCCAGTCCCAATCTCCTCCCCATCTTCTCTTCACACCTCACCCCTCTCTTTATTCTTCCGGAATAATTGTCCAATTGCTGTTATGTCACGATGACTGGTTGCTTAGTAGATTTGTGACGCTGGCAGGTTTTGTGGATATTTGGTTATAGGTGGGACTGCTGCGTTTGAGGATTGCTACGATCAGTCGGAAATTGTACCGGAAGTGGAGCGCATGAACTACTAGTGTAATTGTCAAGATTCATGTTACAGCTTGGAAAAGCATGGACGCACGTCAGAAAACACGTAAACCACTAAAATACACCTGCAATATTGATTATGTGAAAGCTGCTATCTCATTACTACATCTTTAGTCATCTCTGGAAGACTGGGCCCAGGGATCTTCATCTTCCGGAAGAGTGGTTTTCCTATGATTTTCAAGGAGGAAAAACTCCTTTTCTGCCCGTTCAGGCAACATTTGCATTCTAGAAATGAATATTTACTTACTCCGGTTGTTGAAATTTCCTGGGAATCACTGTATACGTACCATCACGAGAATTTCTGAATATTCGGTAGTTGTGATGGTCTTAATATATTTGAACCGATATATTTATCGTTCTATTCTACCAAATTTGCATTTGTTACTGTCTTAAATCTTTCATTTAATTTACATTTGAATCATAAAGAGTAGATTCTGTTTATTGAATGTTCCTAATAACTTAACTTAGGATTGATAAACTTCTCACCCTCAATATTTTCAAAAAAAAAAAACTTTTTAATATGCTAATCAATATATTAGGCACAAGAACTGTTCCAAATGATATCAAATTAGACTAGGGAAAGATTTTATAAAATTTCATACTCTTCAGGAACGGAAAAAGTTGTGCAAATGTAGAAGATAAAATCGTATAAAGAGAACGATTTTTTTTTAAATAAAAACTAGGATCATTTTAGGAAATTTATAACGTGCATATTTTGTTTTACACTATTGTTGAATTGTTTAAACTTGCAGGGTTTTCTCTTTTTTTTTTTTTTTTTTTTTTTTTTTGAGTTTTGATATTTTGAAAAGTCTAAGTTTCAAGCCTTGCTATTATTTCCTTTAGCTAAGATATAGCAAACATAACTCATTTGGAGTAACACAATATAGAATGAATGGATCACAGTTATGTGTCGCAATGTTTTGTTTACTTAATCAGTTTTTGTAAAGAAAAGAAAAACGTTTAATGTAACGAGTCGTTTACAGCTAATAATTTATCCCAATTTTATAGGTGCACTTGATATATGTGAAACTGTTTACTATGTTAGAATAATTTGATAATGAAGTTCTTTTGATGTGGATTCACATAAAGAAATGGAAGATTTGTTAGTTGAAAGAAGATTTTGGTCTTTTTAAACATTGAAAACATTATTGTTAATCGTCAATTAGTTTTTCTTTGACAAAACTTCGTGGAAAATTTGAATTTAATTTGGTTGAGGTTGTTGTTTGATACGAATTTGACTGAAGTGCAGAGTTGTTATAAATCGAGAGCAGTAGAAATTTGACAATATAATAATCTGTTTTATTTCTTTATCAATCATTGTATACTGTGATTGTTTTAGCAAATTTACAATTGTGAAATAAATTTAATCATCTAAATAGAAATTCATGAGAAATTGGGGCGAAACAAAATGCTTATCATTTAATTGAAAGATTTTTGAAATATTAAATATTTGCATTAATTCAGATTTGGAGATTAATTACTTTCCTAAAAATGTTTGCATTAAAATCTCGTGAAAGTGATGTGATTAAACCAAATTATTTTTATAATATGAAAACAGGTTGATTCTTTCAACATAGTTCAATAAAACGCAATTTATTTGGGTTTTTCCGACATGTGATGAACTAATAATCCCACAAGCTTCTGTATTATACTGAACAACAGAAGTAATTTTCGTTATCGTAACAAATATCATTTTTTAATCTAAATTATCACTTGTCATCAATCTCATACTTTTCAATTTTTTCATTATATTTGTATTATTTATTCCACTACATCAAATCTTAGAACTGAACTACAATGGCTTTGACATGCAAGATGAAAGTTCGCTTGTTTTGGCCATTGCTAGGTATCATTTCTGGAATAATGGCCGGACTATGCTTTCCTATTATTTATCAAGTAAGTTTAGAGTATCATTTAAGTTTCTTCATTTCAATATCAGAAATGATTGATTTAAAAAGGCACATAAAGCTTTGTTTGGTTTAGTTTTAGACAATGAATTTATTCAGGAAGTTAAAATGATTAAACATATAATAATAAAATCTTCAAAATGCAACAGTCATTTTTAATGCTTTTACAACTTGTTTGATTTGCTTAAAAAAGAATTCTTTCAATTATATTTTTCATTTTAGATATTTAATAAAAGGCAATGTAAATTATATCATAACATTTCACTAATTTATATAAATAATACTCTAAAATTTATGGAACATTTTTAGAATTGGAGTGCAACAGTAATGGCATTTATTAGTTCTATAATTGCTGTGAATCTTTTCATCATACATCGAAAGCATATCAAGGGAACGATGTCGTTACTATCCAAAGCCAAAATTAAATTCATTTTTGCTATTCGTAAGCTGTTTATCTTTATATTTATTTTATAGTAATTAAACAATAAAAAATAAACTCATATGCGCTTTAAATTATAGCATAGAAAAAAGTAATAATTACAGTAGCTTTTCTTTTTTTTTGTCTTCATAAAATCATTGATTTAATTTAGCAAGTCTATTGGTATACTTTTTTAAATATATGACTGAAATCTTATAGATTGTATACTCTGTATATTATGTCTTGGTGGAACTATCGTTTGTATTACGCTTGCTATAATTTGGCATCAAAATTTAACACATAAAGGTTTAATGAACGAAAATTTGTGGATAACAGCAGTTTGGTTTTTTATGACATTTAAATGGTCTATGCTTTCGGCGTGGTATATTTATCACTATTCTTCCCAAGTAATCATTCTATTTTTAACATTGTTGTGTAAAAAAAGTATGGGGTTAGGTGTTGATTTTGAGTTAAGGGTAAAAAAGAATCAAAGAAAGTAATTAGATTATTTGCTATTTATGCTAAATAATATTTGAAGTTAGGAAATGAGTCGAATTTTTTGAAATTTATGAAATATCAGAAAATAGTAAAAATTCAAATGTATTTTCCTTAAGTCTTTTTTTTTTTTGTTGTTTGTTTATTTAGCATAATTGCTTTAAATATTTTCAAATTAAAGTTTATGACTTTTCGGATAGCTTTTCTCCTGTTTTCCTCTCTTTGAATGCATCACTAACATATTTTCGCTATATTTGGATCCTTTTTTAGGTTTGTAGTGAATGTAAAACTGAAATGTAAAACTTGAAGTTGTTTTATGGAATTTGAATTGAATGAGATGGAAAATTTTTCGTTTTAAAAAAAACAAAGAATGTTCCAGTAGTATTCACTCAGAATTTCTGATTTAGATTTGATATAACTCTCTGTAAAACAAATTTTTCTGAATGATAATGATTTATTAGAAAAAGATAATATGAATATAAATAATACATTATTATGTGCCAAAACACATTATTTGTTGTATGCTAACTACATTATTATATTTTAAATTGCAGGAATACACGGAACATCTACCGAGTTAATATACCGATTTAGCAATTATGATTCTTAGCTGATCATATATCATTCATTCTATCGCTTGAATTCCATCTATTCATTTATAAATGCCTTACTAAATATACATCAATTTCTTATTGACAAAATAAAATAAAGTACATTCTGCTTACATAGCATTAATGATTAGAGAAAATGAATTTAAAGAAAAAATACCTCCATATGTTGACATTTCAATAAATTATTTATAAGAAGGATTGCGAGAAACATTATATGTTGATTTAAATCATAATTGTTCTATATTTAATGTTGTTAACTTGTTATGGAAGATCAACGCCTAATCAATCAGTTTATGATTATCATCTAATTATCAATGTTGATATTAATTTTGTTGAACGTATAAACTCATTGATTTGTTCATTTACAATATTATTTGGCTATTTTTTTTTTTTAATTATTAAAAGTTTTACTGTTTTTTTTTTTTTTTTTTTCATTGACTAAAATGGACATATGCCACTGGAATATTTTGAAACTGAAACAATCGTATTGCTTTATTTGTTTCCTAATTATTTTACAAAATCTGTGCCTATCAAATTTGCTCGCTTATCTTTTGCAATCATTTTTATCAGTTTATTCATTTAATAACTCTTTGCATATAATTTATACTTTGCTTCAATTTGAATTCAGCTGAAATGAATGGGAATAAAAAAATAACTATTTTATATGAATTATTTGTTATAAAATGATAACTGATTTTCAACATGTGCACGATGCACATTTCAAAACATTTTATTATGAAATGAACTGTTCAAATTATCACAAAAAAAGTGCTATAATATTAATATTCCGAAAACGATAAACATATTCATTGCACCAGGTGAAAATAGGAGAAAATCAAGAATAGACTGAAATTTCGAAGTGATAATCTATCGTTGAAAACAAAAACAGATGGAAATCTCGGAATAATTTCTTAATTGATGATTTTTTAAGTTGATGAATTTTTAATTTGTAATTTGATATTTGCTAACGAATTCTTTTATAAATTTCCTAATTTGATATTTTGAAATACACAAACAATAATTTTTTGAAATATAAAAATTAATAAATGAAAAAAAAAAAAAAAAAAAAACTCATTTTTTCCATTGATTTGTTAATTCTCTACAGATTCTCTACGAAATTACTTTATTGATTTACTAATGGTTTAATTGATTCTGTTAAAATTACAAATAAAATAAATTTACAGGAAATTGAGACAAAATGAATGAAAGTAGAAGGATAAAATAACTGAAGTGAATTATTCGCATAGAATTAATTCTTATTCATAGCTTTTGTTATGAACCATTCATTTAACTCAAGATTTTAAGAAATTATTCTGTATAAAGAATTCGAATTTTTTAGCTGAATTTCTATGGAATAATATTCAAATAATTTTGTTACTTGATTGAAATTGTAACTTTGCAAGCTTCTTCAAATTTTTGAAAACATTTATAATTCCTAATGAAGTATGTCATTCGTCAGTATCAGAATCGATTAAATCATCGAAACCCTGAAATTCAGAATCGATTAAATTTTCTTTTGCCTCTTTACATTTATCTTTTTAAATTCGAAATAACCTTTTCTCTCTCTCCATATTTATCTCTCTAAATTAAATAATATTCGTAATTCAATTTAGATCTGATTTTAATTTCACTTAATGCATTTTCTGGCTTATGAATGATCGATTGTCCATTATAAAATGAATATTTAATTCCACTAATACAAATTAATTTCATTTCTTTCTTTTATAGTTTCTTTTTCACTTTTCACAATAGATCAATCATTTCTTGTTTCAACTATTTTCATTGCTAAATTATTTAATGTTAATTTTATGATTTGTTCATAACATTCTCATTCTTTTTTTAAAAGATTATTTTGTAGTTATTTTTATCTCATTTAATCTAGCATAACAGTATATATACATATTCTTTTTAATTGAATAGAAAATTTTACCTGAGCAATTTTTTCATCGAGCATTCGAAAAAAATCAATTTGACTAGTGCTCTCAACTTGCCTAAAAATTATTTCATTTAAATATATTATGCATGAAAGCAAATTTAGCTGAAAATTTTAAAATTTTAATTGTATGGGTTTTTTTTTTTTTTTTTTTTTTTTTTTTTTTCAATACTAAGAATTCAATCTTGTAAGCTATTAGGAAAAAAAAAATTTTTTTTTTTTTTTTGTTTTAATGACTCAGAATTACTTTATTGGTTTGTTGATATAAGTGATATTCGATTCCTGAACTTCCGGATCTAATGATATCCTGAAATTAATATTTTAACAGTGTATAGTTAGAATACTCTTTATTTACTCTTCAATTCTTTCAATTCTTTATATGAAAATTTTAAAAATTATACACTTTCTTTTCAGTACTAAAAATTTGTTTTTGAAAGGTATTAAAACAACAATGCATTAAAATGGATTGTTCAGGAACACTTGAAAATAGCATTATAATATAATCCACTTTAAAATAAAATCTTTTGAGTATTTGCTATGCAAATTCGATAAATGTAAGGTTTAAAGTAGTGAAGCTTAAATGTAGCAATTTGTGCTCTCCTAAAAAAAAAAAAAAAAGCTTATTAGTATTTTGATGAAAGCAATTAATGAATTACAACTAATAATACTCTAGTTAGCAAATTAAAATAAGATATTGATTAAACAATAGCAAATATTTTTAAAACAAGTATTAGAGGTCAATCTATTATCCTAACATATTCGATATAAAATTTAAATTAATGATTTTAAAATTGTTCAATATAGAGTTCAAATCAATGATTTGAATTTTATTTGCAAATTATGAAAAAAATTTTACTTTGGTTTCAGTGTAATTCGATTACAAAAAGTTGATCGTATGGATGACATGTCACATCGTACCATTGAATAAGCATTTTTAATGCAATTAATAGCAGTTGTCATTCCTCTAACAGTGTTGCTCTCATCCAGTACTGCAATCGAATTCGATACTTTTGTGACATTTGTCATCGATACAGATTGAGAATCGGAGAAATATTCGGTTGTATCCTCCAATAATGGCCGATTCATAATTCCAACGGTTGTATCGGTTGAATCGGAATCAAATTCAGACTCTGTATTAGCATTGTTCGTTCTCGAAAAGCGACATCCCATATCATTTCTTTATAAGCTTTTAAGCATTTCTAGAAATTAAAAAAAAAAAAAAAAGATCAAAATTTTTGAGCACTTCAATCATTTGAACTAATTAGTAACATTATAAAAAATAATGAATAAATTTTATGGCAATTATTTTAAGATTCAATTACATCACTTATTGAGCTATAAGTACAAAATTTTTCGTATTTTATTCTTATTAACTGTCATTTTGCTGTTCACTGTTGTAGGATTTTAAGACAGTAGTAGAATGGTTAATTACCAAATTGACAAAAATGATAATTGGATAAAATGGAAGAATTCAAGAATGACATTTTATTGAGTTTTTTTTTTTTTTTTGCTTATTTGATTTTAATTAAAAGAGAGAAAATTATGAAGGATTTTTTATTTTATTCAGGAAAATGTTGTCTGTAATTAATTACTAGATAATATTTTTGCAATTGGCATTAATGAAACTTAAAATGGAATTACAAATTTAAGGAATTAGTTGGAATAATTTGTGTTTAAATCATATGAAAACTTGAAGATTAAATGGCGTTTTAATAAAAATTAAGAAATGAAAGAAAAATAGCGCCCAGTGTATCGAATTAATTAAATCTTACAATTTCTATGTGGAAGATTAAATTTTTCTTAAAAAAAAAAATATAAATGAAATAATAAAGCAAGTAAGCAAATGTGACAAATTAATTAGTGATAATTGATGGATGTATTGAATTTAAATTTGAGCCATTTTTGCTCTTTCATTAATCACAATTAGTAGGTTAACAGAAAAAGATAATTACCACTTGAGATGTTAATTAAATTTTTTTTTTTTCCGAAATAATAAAACGAACATGTAAATATTTTGAATTTTGAATTAATTTACTTCTATTAGTTCATTTCTATTTCGATCCGATTTACTTATTTCAAAGTCATAAGTAAAAGATTATTGCTATACCTATAAAAAAATGAACGAAATTATAAGTTATTTGCAACAATTACTTAAAAAAAAAAAAAAAAAAGAAAAAAAAAAACTTATGCATTACTGTATTACAAAGATTGTAACCTCAAAGTTTGAGCATTCTTCTATTATGGATATTCTCCTTCAAAATAATTGAGATTTTGAAAAGTTTTTATTGGTAGTATTTGAGAGAGAAATAAAATAGAGAATTGGAAATATTAGAATTGTTAATTGGAAATGGAAAAGATTTACGGCAAATGTAAATATAGCCAAAAGTTAGTATAATGCTAAAAGCAATTGATTGCTTCTTCTTCTCATTTTGACTTTCATATTTTCCTTCCTTCTTTTTTTTTTTTTTTTTTTTTCTGAAGAAAAAGCCATGTGCTAAAACACTGAGATCTTTTCATTTTTTATTTCGATTAGTTAAATGAAATGAAAAAAAAAAAAAAAAAAAAAAGTCAACCATTTATTATTAATACAATGAGCAATGAAAAAGGCAAATGAATGAAAAAAAAAAAAAAAAAAAAAAATAGCTTTTAGCCAAGGATTTAGAAAAGTTAAAGCTTAAATCTAAACAAACCTAATAATTTACTCTTTAAAAAAAAAAAAAAAAATTCAAAAAGGCAATATTTGCATGAAAACTGTGCAAATGCTATAAACACTGCAAATGCTTTTGAGTATTATTTTGGTCTGTTAGATGTAAAATGTTTGCATCTCTCTCCCTCTCTCTCTCTCGATATATAAATATGTACACATTCATAAATCTTTTTTTATTTCAAATTCTAAACTCAAAACATTACACTCTAGGCTCTACATTCTAAACTCTACATTCATTACAAAAAAGGAAAATAATAATTTGTAAAGAAAGTAAGATGAAACAGAAAATTAGAGGAAATCAAATATATATATATATATATATATATATATATATATATATATATGTCCAATGTCCGCAATGTGAAATATTTGTCACAATTTAAAAAAAAATCTTTTTTTTTTTTTAATTTATAAAAATTCAGTCACTGTTACTAAGGCAACCAAAAGAGAACGGAAAGGAAATTTTGATTTTATTTGAACTCATTAAAAAGATATTTATTAGAATTGTTGTTGATAGTTAAAATAATTCAGCTTTCTTCGTTTTTTTAAACTTTTCAAACCCATAGGATTTCACAAAGTGAGCCATAATTTTTAACTTTTTTCTTTTTTGATATAAATACCATAGAATATGTAGGAAATACATTGATTCGCTTTCTCTTCTTGCATTAAACGAATGAAATAATCAAGCAATAAATTTTTAAAATTATGTTTTATCATAAAAAATCCTGTTTGTTTTCTCTCTTTTTTTTTTCTTTTTAATTTATTTTAAATTATTTATTTTGTGGGTAATATATTAGATTTATTTATCATGTTAACATTACTAACTATTTACTTCATTATCAGTCAATATTGCTTAATGTTCTCTTGTCCTAATCTCTCTCAAAATTATCCCATTTTTAACATTTCTAAACAAACAACACATATGTACTAAACAAACATGTAATGTACTTTTGACATTTCCATGATGTGAAAATAATTCTTCAAACTAAAAATGAAAAATAGTTTTTAATGACAAAACATTGTTTTTATTTTTATTTTTTTCTAGCTGCAAAGAAGAGGAACAAATGCAAACAGAAAGAAATGGTTGCTATTATAATAGTAAGTATATAATAATAAGTTATGAGTAAGTGATAATTAGAAGTGATAAACAAGCTTTAAAGTACAAAAAAATACATTTATTAAATATTCATAAATGAAGAAGCTACATGTTAAACTGGAACTGATTAGAAATTATACATATATAATAATAAGTAAAAGATCACTCATTCTAGCTAAACAAATATCAATGAGTAAAATGTGTATTTGAGAAGATTCTAATTAAAGTAACAGTAAAATTCTAATAAAGGAAATGAACTGAATGAATGATCAGCAATATCTTTCGAATTTTATTGTGTATTTCAGCGTAGAATGACAGCAGAATTTCATAGAACTGCTTGATAAAAAATGATGCTAGAAATGTATTCATCACCTATTTTCAATTAAATAGAGTAATTTCTAATAGCATGATAATAGTGATTAAAACGTTCGTTAAGAAATGTTGTATCAGTAAAAAAAAAAAAAAAAAAAAAAAAAAAAAAAAAAAAAAAACAAAAACAAAAACGAAGGAAAGAATATTCAAATTAATTCACAATAATTTTGAAAAAAAAAACTAGAAAAGATTTGAAAAACCTACAGAAGAACAAGAAGATGATATAATATAAACAATAATTACTATGACAGATATCATTTGAATAGAATGATATTTCCATTATCTCCAAATTCTAAACAATTTAATATTCTACTATCTAATTTCTTTCTTTTCTTCTTACAGAAATGAATTCCACAAAATAATCAATCGCAGAAATTCAGCGAAAGACTGTTTATTCCTTTCTTCGCTCAAACCGTTTTGCATGTTCCATTTGTCTTATCAATCGTCTTTCTTGTCTTTCTTTAGCCCTTTGCTGAAAATAGCATATGCTAGGATGAAAACAACAATTTCCACATTTCTAAAATTCTGAAAGTGATAGTGACCTGATTCATGCTAAAATCAAAAAGAAGCTTTTCTTATATAGTTAAAATATAAACAACGTTTTATAGCGAACAATAAAAAAGATCTCGAAGTATAACTCATTTCATGAAACATATTTCAAATTAAATTTTTGGCCAATTCGCCAAAGTAGATTTGGCATAACGGAAAATTATGCTAAGATAAGTACTACATTATTGGTAGGTGGATGTCAAGAATTCTCTGGAACTTTCAGAAATTTAAATTCTGATATAAACTATTTTCCAACTCAGCAGAGCAAAATTGAATTCAAAATGCAAGAAATTAAGAACTGGAATTCAGTTTTCATAAATTTGTTTCATAAATTTAATTCAAATCATAATACGAATATCAGAATAGCTTCTATAAAAATCACAAGATAATTATGATTATGTCCTTATTAATAATTTATAAAATAAATGTATTGAGATTTTCAGAAATGAAATAAATATTGTGGGTGTCACTCTATAAAATAGTCATAGGAATGAGTATAGCAAAGTATATGAATAAATTTCACTTAAAATTAAATAAAAAAATCAAAAAAAAAAAAAAAATAATTTAGACTAAAAAAAAAATAAAAAAAATTTTTTTTTTTTGAAATAATTTAGACTGGAACTGGAATATTTGTAAGAAATTCTAAGAAAAAAGTATGAAATATCTGATATTTTAATATTTTGTTAAGTTGAATTCTCTTACTTCACGCAAAGCATTGTCAACACTTTCAATATCGATTTGAGTGTCCCATTCTTCAGCTTCATCATGTGTATTCGTATCTTCCAAATTACCAAGTTCACCTAACTGAACAAAAAAAGAAACTTATGAATCGGAAAAAATTATGTAATTACATTTGTAGCATTTAAAGTTATTATAATTGAAAATTTTAACAGCTTTGTTACAAAAAAAAAGAACGAAATGAGAAGCGTTACGTTAAGTCATTTCAACGTATTTTACTTATACTTACATTAGAAGATAGCAACTGATGCTGATCTGTTTTCATAGCAAATAAATTGCTACTTTGAGCTGGCGTGTTATCATAATTGCTAATATAAGCCTAAAAGAAAATTGCAATTTACTGCTAAAATAAAGATAATAAATAACCGTAAATGTATTCATATAAATGTAGAAGAAATATTCGCTATACAATTTTATAAGCAATATAAGCCAGTACGATAGGATAAATACAAATAGAAATATTTCTCTTGCAAATAATATTCACAAAAATTATCGAATATTTTAGAAATCATCTAACCCTTGGAGTCTGCACAACTTTTGGTTGCATATCATTAAAAAAATCCGTCTCAGCTGTCTCTTCTACTACAACTTCTGATTCGGCCTTTTTACGACGATATTCTATAATTTTTTCTTCAACTGAAGTAACAAATGGAGTATCACTCCAGTCTTCCCATTTTTCTTTATTTGTATCTGAAAAACGATTTACAAACACATAGATGGAATTCGGTTTAAAAAAAAAAAGTTATCAATTAGAAAACGGTTTCATCGTTTCTCCATTAAGACATGCATCAAAATAACCGGATTATTAAAAGCGCCCACTAGTGTAAAAATCTCATTACCTCTCAGAGATAAGCTGTTAACTATAGCATAATATCTAAATGATAAATCAAATGAAACTAATGATGCATCGATTTCTTTTTTCTTTCTACATCATCTACTTTCTTTCTAATCTCTCACTCCTTATTCCTATTTTTTTCTTCCTCATCCGTTAAATTTTTAAAATAAAATTACCTGATCCCCAATATATTTGAGGATTCTGATGAGCAACTGTATATGGTAATTCCCCAATATTTTTCCTTCGCTTAATGCAACAACACAACCTGCCAAGGATGGCAATAATAAGCCGAAATATAAACAAAGCTCTTTTCTTAAGCGTTTGAATTGCACACATTACCTCACATCTTGGATTACATACAAACACATGTCTAAAGTGAGTGGACAAAATCTTGGTACTACCGGAACAGGTACCACGGTACAGAACCAAACTCGTAGTTCTAGAAAAAAGATCAATTAGGTTTAATTGTTTCACTGAACTAAGTTGCAATTTCTTGATCAAAATAACTTGACGACACAAAATCAATGCTTTTAATCATTGATAACTGTGGACAACCGGGAAGAATATCCTTTACTGACCAAATAGAATATAAACACAGTATATGCATAAAAGTATTTATTGATTTTAGATATAATACAAAATACCCGCACATAAACTTAATAAAGAAAAAAGTATAATAGAAGAAAATGCGGAAAACAGACATACTCAAATGGTTTTTAAATCGATTTTAAACAAAAATGCACGGAAGCAAGAAAAAAGTATCTCAGCTGAGAAGTTGGTAATTAATTACGTAAGATCCATGCAATATAAAAAAATATGTAAAAAATGAAATTCATTTCAAAAGTGGCTAAGTTTTTAAATTCATATATCAATCAGTTAAAAAATAGTCATAGATTAAAAAATTTACAACTACTACATAAAAAAAAAAGTCAGAGAAGTATTTCTATATAAAAATCTATACATTCAACGCCCAAAAACAATGCTGCACAATAACAACAACTCAAATTTTGTCCATATCAAACAGCATCACCCAACTGTCGTTCCAAAATACCAACACCCAATAAAAACCTCATTGCATCGCGTTGGCCCATTTCATAATAACTTTTAAGGACGTCAACATTTGGAGGAAATAAAGCTTGCGCTCCTCGAATCATATTTTGCACATTTACCTGAACATTTTTTTTTTTTACATCACTGATGCAATTAAATTCCAAAAGCTGACTAAAATTCGAGAGTAATATTTGAGAATTTAATCACTTCATGCTACCACTGGATTCAAAGGAGAAATTTTTTTTTTCAATTGCTTAAAATCTTAGTAATACTTAAATTATATATAAACTAAAAAATTAAAGTGATAGCAGATAAAACTTTAATCATAATAATTTCGAAAACGCCTCATGAACATTAGATTTTGCAAAAAAAGAAAAAAAAATTCATTCATAACGAAATAGATTACAATTATAAACCTTTAGTTCTTGTGTACCAACTCGCAAGCGCCATTCACGAAATGGTCGCAACGAATCGTAATCATTTGGAGCAATAATAGCACTTCCACTGAATGGAGAAATAGTAATTGTCGGTAGTTCCTCAAATACTGGCAAATTATTCGTAAATCCACCATCGATATACTGCTAAAATAAGAAGAATGAGAACTATAACATTGCGGTTAAAATTTCTTGAAAAATCTCATATTATTCCAACCAGTCAAAGCAGCTTAATAAAAAGTAAGAATCAATGAGAACTTACGTCACCATCAATCACAGGAGGAGAAGAACCAGAATAAAACGGGATATAACAGCTGGCTAGTAATGAGTCTATCAAATAATTTCTTGACGTGAATTTTGAAATCAACCTATTAACGTTCTTCTAAAAAAAAAGACACCTGTTGAATTTCTAAAATATTAATCTTTCATTAACCTGTAGTTTTATCGGTGGACATCCCAATGAAAACTATATTTTACAAGAAACCGAAATACTTATTCATATTTGGAGTGTCAACAGTGAAGGACTACAAAATGAAAACTAAAAAAATCAATTTTCAAATATTTCAATCTACACAATAACATGGCAGTGTTTTACGATGGCAAATACAAGAAAATCTCCCTCTGACATTTACGGCACACATATATCTCCCAATCTATGTCTTTTGGCATCCCCTTTTTTTGCATTGTAGGTGTAAATAAATAAATAAATTTTTGCTTACGCAAAAATTTAACCTTCTGATCGGTAAGAGATATGTACAGTTTGTCTTGTGCATTTGAAATATCCTCCGGAATATAGAAATCTACAATTTTCTGCAAACTTCTGTGAAGTGCAAAATCTGGAGATAATGCACCAAATCGTAATGAATGTATTTCAGTGGCCATTTTGATCACATCGTTAAAACCTTTCTAAAAAAAAAAAAAAGAAATGCAAAACCTGTAAAATCAAGCACCAAAACAACATTCAGCGATTTGTTTAACCACACAGAAGTACACAAATTTGAAGAATAAATTTAGATTAACAATGCCGATTCTTATTTAAGTTGACAATGCCAATTTTCACTTAATATCTATTAAAGGATTTGTTTGATTTAGGTTTCATTTTAGTGGAAATTAGCAATTCTACTGAAAGAATTTCATATTAAACTAATAAATTACGCCAAACGGCAGCTAATATTCAAGACATACTGTTCCAAATTATAAGTAATGCTTGTGAAATAAGAAAAAATTCATTACAGCTTCTGCAGTGACTACTTTCTTATATTACATCTACAGCCCCTTAATGCAATCTCAAATCACTCAAGTATTCTTATCATAGAAGGCTCTTAACTTAAAATGATTAGTAAAGCTGATACAACTTCAATTACACCATAAATGATACAGTTCAAGTAACCTCAGCATCATCAGGTTGAAATGTCCATAAAGCAGCTGCCAGAGCACCTGCTGATGCACCCGCACAACGTTTCACTCGCTTCATCAAAGCCTGAAATTTATATTTAAATGAAATTCATTTACCTTCTTCTCGCTTGCTAATTCGATTAATTACAGGAACTACTGATTTCAATAAAAATGACCTTCCCGTCACGATTAAGTCCTTTAAGAACTCCAAAATGATAAACACCGAGAAATCCGCAACCACTAAAAGAAAGAGCAACATCACCTTCACCTGAAATCATTACCTGAAATAATTTAAACAATTTACGCAAGTAGAGATGGACTTAGTTTCAGTTTATCAAAGTGGAAGCTCTCAAAGCCTAATAACTTCAGAAATCTTTGATATTGAAGTCATCAAATACATTTTATACAGTAGTATACATTCTAAAAAAAAGAAAACAAACCAAGAAGCCTACAGAATCTCATAGGTTTGACTTTCCGTTTATTCCAGCAACATGCAGTTTTCAGACACTCCTCGAACTGATTAAAAACGCTTAATTTCCGCTGTGAGTAACTGAAATTATTGTGGTAGTAAAAAAAGAAAAAAAAGAGCAAACTAACCACCCAAAAAATCAATTAATACAGCACGGTCATCTACCATGTCAGAAATCTATCCGTAAATATCTTTCAAAACTGCAGGAAACTATTCCAACAACTACACTACAAAATAAATGAAAGAACAAGCTTACTCCTGACATTTGCGCTCATTTCTTCCTACAAAATCTCATATTCATCAAACGAGAATGGTCATAAGATGTCACAAAGTAAGTAGGAGTGGAGAGTAAGTCAGAAAAATGTGCAATATCCAGGATTATTACAATAAGATCTTATAGTCGGTAACATTATCGAATTACCCCTATTTTTTAACATTTCCATGATAAAATGAAGTATAAATGGTTGTTTACAAAATGGTTGTATTCGATGGAATGTTACACTTGGTTGCACCATAATGTTTATGATTAATTGAAGCAGATGTTGAATTCAAGTCGTAATCGTTTTCTTTTCTGGTTACAATCTCAAAATTTTTTTCCACTACATTCACAGTCCTATAAAAAATAAAAAAAAAAAATTACACAAACAATACCAAAAAGATGACAAATATTCGAGAAAGAAAAAAAAGATCTATTGTATATTTTGTCATTTTTAACTTCCTGTTCGATTTTCATCCTCTTTTTTCTTTTTTTTTAAGCAAAAAAAAAAAAGTTTAGAATGGATGACAATTATGAAAAAAAAACTAATTGGTGATTGGAAAGAATTCAGAAGTACAAAAATATTTCGCTGACAAAAATTCAAAGGTGTCAAAAAAAAGCTTAAATGAAACGCATTGGCTAATTATTCACCTTTTATCATTTATCTCACTCATGAAAATGATATAATAGTAATAATGGCAATAGTAATAATAATGATAATGAACAATAACAATAAAGAATAATAATAATAATAACAACACGTCACGTAACTTCCACGATTCCCACGTCCGGTCAAAATGTTTGCTATTAGGTAAAAAGTGACGCAGACCGTAACGGATGAAAGTGCTATATTGTATGTATTAAAATTGATTTGTTCATTTGTTAGGGAATGGTAGAATTGGGTAATTACAATTTGTACGTAATAAATTTTGATCAAATAAATTACGTTTTGTTGTGTAAGTTTTATCGTATAAAAAAAAAAAAAATTATCATAGACGTATTCCAGACGTAGCGACGAATATTTGAGTGAAATTTTTAGATGAAACATTTATACTTATACATTAATTATTTTTTAACAAAGATATTTAAAAAGTTATGCATTAATTAATATTGCTAACATTTCCAATTCAGACTAAGCTAACACTAATTCATAAACACGTACCTAATTTGATAGGCATGTAACGTAGTAACAATAAATTAATTCTTTTGAAGTTACAATAAATTATAAACAGTTATTTTTTCCCTCTCTCTCTCTTCTTCTTCTTTCTTTGTTTACGAGTAAAAAAAAAGTAAACGTATAGCAAATGAGTACATTTTATAATATTGGAACGATAAAGAAAGCTTCACGTAGCTAAATCATCAATCAACCAAGCAATGGCACAAACAAAAGTGGAAAATGTGAATGGAATTATTTGTGACATCGATTAATAAAAGAATTATAATAATTTGTATATTTTTGAAAAATTGAAAGTTAAGAAAATATTCAAATTATAGCAATGTGACCTTTCCAAACTTCTCTGACCTCTTTAGATTATTCTTTTCAATACTTCAGTTATATTTATAATGAGATTGAATTTCGAAGATAAAATTAAACAAAAGCGTATGTTAAATTAAAAAGAAACAAACATAGCTTTAATTAATTCTGAGCTACGGATTTTATCGATTGAAATGTAAAACTAAATTTGATAAGTATTACTTACCCAAGTTAAAATTACTCAAATTTTAACTTAATTTATGTTTAATTGTATCTTAAGAAGTTAAACGTCTTTAATGCAATGTTAATAGTTGAAAATAAGCAAATGGATGAAGTTAAAATAAATAAGAAGTTAATTGATTTTTGAAATATTATTTATGATTTTTGATGTTTACAATAAATATTCCTCTGACTAATTTAATCCAATTTTTCTTGGAATTTTTCAGTCAAAAAGAAAAAGCAAAAACAAAAAACTTTGTTAAATAACAGTGTAATTATTAGAATTTGACACAGAAATAAATTAGCAAAGAATAAATTGGTATATTGTAATATTGAAATGAAAAATGAATGAACTGGAATATTACTAAAGATTTGATGGTTATATTATTTGTTCCAATTATTATGTTTAAAATTATAATTCTTTGCAAAAAAAAAAGAAAAAAAAAAAACAAAAAAAAAAGGATTCTGTAATTTCTTTTTCTTCTTTTTACTTTCTTATTGTTATAAAACATTTTGGTGCGCATAAGTCACGGCTTTCATTAACGCCACAATATCAGACAATTATCATAAGAAAGTTAAGCAAATTTCCGATTTACGCTCTTCTTTACTTATTTATATTCCTAATTTCTAATCTTACAAGAATTTAATGAGTTAAAGAAAAAAAATTAATTTCATTCAGATAATAATTAAAAATTGTGGAAATAAAAACTAACAATTATATATTTGAAAGCAACCGAAAAACAGACAAATAGTTATTTGTCTTTTTGAAAAAATTTATGAATTAAAAATTATTAGTCGGAAAAAGACGAATAATTCTGCCATATAATAAAAATTTTGATAATTAATTATAATAAGAATGATTGATTATAAAAGAATAACGAAATTGTTGCAAATTAAAGTTAAAGCTGAGAAAAAGATGCATTCTGAATTGAAAAAAAAATATCTCATTGATTTATTTATTTTCAAAGTTTAATAATGAATTCAAGAAAAGTTTTTAGATTCAATTTTTGAATTCGAAATTAGTAAAACTAAAAATTGAAAATGTTTCAATTGAACACGTTTTTGTCTTTGATCTCAAAGAATTCTGTCTAATTTATGAAATTTATGAATGTATTTCTATGATTTAATTAAAGCACAATGATAGCAACCACATTTTCAATGAAATTTCACCTCCAAATCAATCAGCTAATCAATCAATCAGTCAATAGATCATTCAATCAATGGGATTTCAAGGATAGAATTTCAACCCTTTAAGATTAAAAAAAAAAAAAAAAAAAAAAAACTATGTTATATAAAGTAATTAAGATAACTTATTGTGATATGATATTGAGTTAAATTATTTTAATTAAATATTAACAATATCAAAAGAACATGAATTATATTTGAAATGATAAATATCATCTCAAGTGAGAATTGAACGTTTTGTTACCTTCAACAAATTACTTTCAAAATTTATAAAACGTTATGTAAAAATTTCGTAGTCTTTTTTTTAAACAAAAAGAAAAAAAGTTTCTTCACTTTTAAAATTTTTCCATTAAATTTGAACTTTTGAGAAAAACGCGAAATCAGTCCTAGTTTTAATATTCACATTACATTTTATTACTCTTCATCTCTTTCATTTCTTTTCATTCAAGTTTTATTTTCAGAAATTTTTGTTAAAAATTTTTTCAAACGATCATTTTCTTTTTTTCTTTCAAAATAAAAACTACTGCCAGTTTTTGAAAGTAAATTCATGATGTTCCTGTAAATACTTTGTAAATTTATTTTATTTTATTTTTTATTTTTGTTAAATTTACTCAAATTATTTGGTAACAATAAAAACTATTTGTGCCATCGTTAGAGTATTTCCATGGAGAAATAATTTATTTAAGAGTAATTGCCAATCCTTTTCATCAATTTCTAAGCAGAAATTAGCAATCGAAATATTATCTTTCTCTTTTTTTTTTTTTTTTTTTACTATTGAACTTTTGAGGTCAAAAATTTTACATTAATTTGGTTTCTTTTCGATGGATGACTGTTTTAGTTCATTATCTTTAATTATTTCAATAATTTTATCGGTAATATTTTTAATTTTTTTGCATTGTATTATAATGTTGTATTTTAAAATAATTTATAATACTTTTATCAAATTTAATTTTATGAAATTTTTTTATAAGTATAAAATAAAAAAAAAAAAAAGAAAGAGAAGATAAGTACGAAATGAGTACTAAATTCCTGTCTATTCATTAATTTCAAATATTTTTTTTATAATTTTTGAAATTACAAATTTTTAGTATCAATTTTTATGTGCAATCCTTACAACAACACATAAATCTTATTTCATTTCTTATTTCTAAAAATATGTAAATAATTGCATTGCCAAAAAAAAAGTTGTAATGACATTTAAACAGGATTATAGCGTAGCACAAAAATTTCTTCTTTCTTCTTGTATAAAATATCGGAAGATAAAAATTAAATTGAAGTTGATGGGATCAGTAAAAGAAGAATTGCACAAATTCATTTGATATTTTTAATTTTGGATTTATGAGTAAAGAAGTTAATTGAATGTGATTTATCAATAAGTAAGTTTGCTTTATCATAGTTTGGTATAAATAAACTAATAGAGTTACTTTAAATAACTTTCATTACAATAACTACTAGCGAACGTTTTATCCTTGTTACAAGCGCAATTTTTCCTTTTCAATTTTCTGATTAATTAAATTTTGGAATTTTTTAGATCAATAACTCTGTTTGAACTATTAGTATCCCAGGAAAATAGAAGTTTATAATTATTAGACGCAGTTGCACTTTTTCACGAATTACGTTTTAATCTAGGTCAAATATATTATTTCATGTTAATATGCGCCATAAGATATCCGTAAAATTGCGCTTGCATTGTTTCCTATGAATTTATTAAACTTTTTATTTACTGCTTTAGAAATATTTGTGAACGGTATAGCTGCAAAATAACTTACTTGTATGATAATTAAAAATTAAAAATGAAAGGTTACAAAAATGAAAAAATATTAAATAATATTTGCTCCTATTATTGACATTAATTAAAA